AACAAAGAAAACTAAAGTAATTTAACCAAACAGATCTGCATCAAAATCCACTTGTTTGATAGCAACAAGATAAGCTGACTAGAAAATACGGAAACTGGCTTCAAAAGTCAACATTTTATCAGCGCGTTTGTTTGTTTGCTTGTATATGAAGATGACTGAAGAAATGCAAAAAGTACTTTGGACCTTAAAGATTACGACATCGTTTTCCGTTTTTATTGTTACCAATACTTTAAAGCGTAGTTGAAATTAAAACGCCATACCACCGCATTTCTGAACTGAATTTTGGCCAGTTTTGGCCATTTTTCCGGTCACTCGAAGATGGCCATTCTCCGATCTCCTTTGTTCTCAAAATTTTCCTATTCGGATCTAGAGGCCGCTTTCGTTGGGTTGTCGGATGGCTACTTTTTGCACATATAACAGTCCTGCCTAATAATTTGAGGGAATAGAAACGATGAAAAAAATCAAAAGTTTTAACCATGACTTTCAGTTCCTTTTTCACTTGATTGAAGGTTATACTGAAAACTGTTAACTTTTAGCTTTTGCGTGCAGATATTAGTAGCAACTGAAAGTATAGTTAAGGCGGCCAAATAAAGAAATTTGTTTATCAGCGAGTCATGGCAACTGAATTGAATGCAATACTGCCGATAAAAAAGCACACTGGAATGATCGTTACTCCTATGGACGTGACCAGCTACTGCTGCAGCTGTATCTACATCGAGAGAACGTAACATGCACGTGTGGGGTTCACATAGATTCCAGGTTAACATTTGATCAACATCATCGTCAAGCTGTTTCCAGCTGGTGACTTTTTGAGACATATTTGATTTCTCGAATTTTTTTATTGTTTGAAGCCTTTATATTTTTACAGTGCGCCGAATGTGTGCAAATACCTGCTAATTCTTACTGTCCACATGACCTTCAATATTGTTGATGACTGCGCTATTATTAGGCATATAAGGGATGCAAAATAAACAAATTCTTATTTAATAAGATGCAATAACAATCAAGTGATAACATTGTATCACGATTAAAGTTCTATTCAGGACCACCCGTCAGGCAATTCATTGCTCAAAATAAAAGCAACACAGATTTTTTATCATGCCTTATCCAATCGCTATCCAGATATTAAATAACAGAAATAAAAAAAAACANTAATTGTCATAACTGAAATGAAATGAGTTATTAAATTATAAATTTCCCCCCCCAAAGATTACCCGGACCAATTAGTTGAACATTTGATTAATTGAAAGAGTGATTAAATAGATGAAATCCTTCCTATGAACGTAGGAAGCCGTATTTTTACGTTCATACTTGCGGCAAATTACTTCCAGGTTAGAATATTGTCAATATTCACAAATAAAGCATCATCAGTGCTTTTACTCAAAATTGTATCGTTTCAGATAAAAGATCTATTGGTTGCACGCTGTGTCTCAAGGACCTCGCGCCAAGATTAGCTAAGTCTAACTAAGTCTAAGAGACTGCTTCCGCCATGAGATACCTTATGATGGCTGGAGTTATCCCAAAAATCAGAGAGAGGGCCATTCCACGCTGTATCAGGCCTGACACTGTATTATCCTACTGCGCTGCCAACCTATCCCCGCCCGCTAGAACGTATTTCCGGAATTAATTACAGTATATTTCAACCAGCAAAGTCCATATATGTTAAAAGAATTATAGCAATTTATTGACTAATTGGTTCAGTAGTGCACAACTGTAAACCCATTGCCCCGATATTGTCCCACGTTCAATTCGCTTTCAAGATAAATTAACAAACAAAGAAAACTAAAGTAATTTAACCAAACAGATCTGCATCAAAATCCACTTGTTTGATAGCAACAAGATAAGCTGACTAGAAAATACGGAAACTGGCTTCAAAAGTCAACATTTTATCAGCGCGTTTGTTTGTTTGCTTGTATATGAAGATGACTGAAGAAATGCAAAAAGTACTTTGGACCTTAAAGATTACGACATCGTTTTCCGTTTTTATTGTTACCAATACTTTAAAGCGTAGTTGAAATTAAAACGCCATACCACCGCATTTCTGAACTGAATTTTGGCCAGTTTTGGCCATTTTTCCGGTCACTCGAAGATGGCCATTCTCCGATCTCCTTTGTTCTCAAAATTTTCCTATTCGGATCTAGAGGCCGCTTTCGTTGGGTTGTCGGATGGCTACTTTTTGCACATATAACAGTCCTGCCTAATAATTTGAGGGAATAGAAACGATGAAAAAAATCAAAAGTTTTAACCATGACTTTCAGTTCCTTTTTCACTTGATTGAAGGTTATACTGAAAACTGTTAACTTTTAGCTTTTGCGTGCAGATATTAGTAGCAACTGAAAGTATAGTTAAGGCGGCCAAATAAAGAAATTTGTTTATCAGCGAGTCATGGCAACTGAATTGAATGCAATACTGCCGATAAAAAAGCACACTGGAATGATCGTTACTCCTATGGACGTGACCAGCTACTGCTGCAGCTGTATCTACATCGAGAGAACGTAACATGCACGTGTGGGGTTCACATAGATTCCAGGTTAACATTTGATCAACATCATCGTCAAGCTGTTTCCAGCTGGTGACTTTTTGAGACATATTTGATTTCTCGAATTTTTTTATTGTTTGAAGCCTTTATATTTTTACAGTGCGCCGAATGTGTGCAAATACCTGCTAATTCTTACTGTCCACATGACCTTCAATATTGTTGATGACTGCGCTATTATTAGGCATATAAGGGATGCAAAATAAACAAATTCTTATTTAATAAGATGCAATAACAATCAAGTGATAACATTGTATCACGATTAAAGTTCTATTCAGGACCACCCGTCAGGCAATTCATTGCTCAAAATAAAAGCAACACAGATTTTTTATCATGCCTTATCCAATCGCTATCCAGATATTAAATAACAGAAATAAAAAAAAACATTAACACAAAAAGTGTCCGTTTGTTTTGAAGTTTGTTGTATCATTTTTCGTCGTATGGTGGAACTTAAGTTAGCAAGATAATTAAAAAAACATGATTCCAAAAAAATCAAATTTCTACTAAGAAAATCACGAGGCGATACAATTTATGTATTATGAATGCTCGTCACCTCGAACGCCTGTATTGGACTGGTTGCCTAACGGAATTAATATAAAATTCCATTCGACATAAAAAAAAACTCCTGTTTTGCGAATCTTTTCTTCACTGAAAAAAATTTTTTGTACGGTTTCTTTAAAATTTCATTCTGATGATAAGGTTAAGTTCAATCCATGACTCCTTCATTTTTGCGGCTACCTGACTAATGTTTTATTGCACAAACCAGTTATCATGTACAGGAAAAAGGGCTTTGGCGGTTTCCTTCATTATGTCAATGCAAGCGTGGAGGTACTCTTAGGAACCAATATACAATCACTGGTTTTATTTGTCATTATTACGTTGGCAATATCTTTAAAGCTAGTTTCCTTGAGAAAATGAAAAAAATCCGGTCAAAACTCCAAGTCTTGGCTGCAAGCAAAAATAAATTATTACAATTCAGTGATTTTACTTTACTTCCCTTGACGCAGTGGCATTCATAGATTTAAATCTCGCCCTTTAGACAATCGTAACAAGCACTTAACAACCAAGTGCTATACTTTCAAGGGTGCGAGACTGGAAGGAAGTTTATTTCAGCTTCCTTATTCCGAGGCAGGTTCGCAGTAGTTTATAACCGTGTTGTAATATGTGAGAGCTACTTCTTCTCCTGCATTATACTAATCCCAGCGCGGTTTTTTTCAAAGGATCTTGATGACACAACTCTTTGATAGTAGGGTGCCCACTCCGCCCTCAAACATTTTACGTTGCTTTACTTCCCTTGACGCAGTGGCATTCATAGATTTAAATCTCGCCCTTTAGACAATCGTAACAAGCACTCAAACAACCAAGTGCTACACTATCAAGGGTTAGGGACTAGAATCTTCATTATTCGGTAACAGGTTCGCAGTACTGAGTTTATAGCCTTGTTGTAATATGTGCTCAGCGCGGTTTTTTTCAAAGGATCTTGATGACACAACTCTTTGAGGGTGCCTACTTCGCTCAAACATTTTAGACTGCTACTTCACATAAAACTGCTATCACTGAGTTGTAAATTAGTCAAGGCGTACAGGCTAAATTGAAGGATTTAAAGTACATCAGAAACTCTGACTCAGAGCTCCCTTTAAGATATGATAGGCTTCAGTTTGTGATCGCGAATAGTGCTTTCCTGTGAATTTTTTTTTTTTTAATTGTCAGGGTTTTAGCATGCTATAGTTACTGGTTAAATCTGTTGCATAAACTAAATAAATGAATTGCAATCAAACTTTTATCCAATTCTTGTTTTTTGGCCCTAAACAAACTGTTACTGAGCAAATAGGTTTCATGAGGAAGTAAGATCTCGCCGAGTCATTAAAAAATTCTGAGACTTAACCAGCACTTTCTTTGAACTACTTTACTATAAACGGATCCATATCCGAAAATCAAAGGCGCAGTTCAATCCTATAGTTTTCTCTCCAGTGGTAAGTGAGTATCCAAGTATCTCAGAACCCCTGGTACAAAGCCTTCACCCCAGCCTTCTATTTTGGTCAAAGTTGACGGTCGGGATTGCCCAAAATGCGACTCATTTTCCGATGTAACTTTAAACTGACCCAATGTGGAGTTTATTAAGCAATTTATGTGAAGTTTACTAGTACAGTGTAGAGAACTTGACGGGGAAAGCATTCTCTGTACAAAAAGAAGCGAAGTACTAATAGTAAACGGGTTGGTAATTTGCAATGTCACTGTTGCAACGCCACCCTTCAAACCGAGAGGATAAATATTTCGAATGGAATGCGCCGGAATTTTGCCGAAAATTTCCGGCTTATTTTGAACTATTGAACAAAACAGAGCACTTGTTATGCTACCCTCCCACGCAAGCGAGAGCGTCACGTGGAGCAAATTACCTTTCTACGTACCGTCAAAGGTATATAAGTAAGAAAGTTTCTCGCACTTCATCATTTTATCTCCGCATCTGCCAGCGAACTAAGCATTTCGGAGATTCGCCATGGCTGCAGAAAAAGAGCCCGACTCGAAGGAGGAATTCAGCGATGAAAAACTGAAAAAGTCTACCCGCAAGACTAAAGTCATCGTTATCGCTGCCTTAACAGTTTTTCTTTTACTTGGGGCGGTGGTTTCTGTGGCGCTGTATTTGACGATAAACCAATCGACTCCAAGTCAGTCAAATCGTCTAACAGATGTAAATTTGAATACGGGCGATACACTCACTTACCAAGTGGATCAGGATATAGAAGCAGAAACGGGAAATAAGAAGCAGAGAGGTAGGCTGATAAAGTATTACACAAAAAGAGTTCTTTTAATATCGAAATTTCATTAACACAGTTTCTAGGTTATATCTTTCAAAAACTGAGGAATACACTGATAAATATATTCAATGGAAAGATCCTGAAGAACCAAATAAAGCAGTTTTGATATAAACTGCATAATTACAAAGATGAAAGTAGATTACAGTTCATTCACTTCTCGAGCAGTCCGGTTATCAAGTTGGCCATGTTCCGTAAAAACTTCGTTGTCTTGCATCATTAGCTGAAATTTTTGTGCCATTTCATCCAATTGCTTCTTCGTATTCTCTATACCAATACAAATATCACACTCGAATATATACCACGTGGAATACCGCCTATCAAATTAGATAACAAAATGTTAGTAAAATGATTCTGGCTTTGGGTGTGGCCAGTCAAATCAAAATTTAATAAGTGGTTCTTTACAGTGTTGTTTCAGCATTGCTCAGCATAAATTTCACAAAATGATTAAAAGTTTCAGTGTCTGTTATCTGGCACTGATTTTTGACATGCAATAAATTATTTTTGCTTGGCCAATTTAAATTTAGAGCTGGCAGTCAATCAAATTAAACAAAATCAACTAAGGAACTTTTAACCCTTTAGGTCCCTGAATGTTGCAAGGGCAGACACATATTTAACCTCACTAAATAATTCAACACATACAGGACTCATTTACTGATACGCAAAAGTACAAAAATATATTTTAAAGGGTTGTTCTTATATCTCAGAAAACATTTTACACTTGAAAGCATAATTTCTTCTCTTCAGGCACGACCCACCCGATTGAACAATTTTATTCAAGAGTTCTAGTGTTAGTAACCTACATAAAATGAATGAGCAATTACTTTAGTAGAATCAAAAACGAAAGAAACACTTTGATTATACCTTTTTGAGGAGATCCAGATCGCTGGTTACTAGCAACACAAACATACAAAAAAAATCTAACTTTCGTTCACTAAGCGCCTTATTTTAAATCTTTCAGTAAACTTTGATCAAGTGAGAATCAAGGCGAATTAGCGAGATAAGACGCATATAATGACCGATGTAATTTTCTCTCTCGGAGAAAAAAGCCGCGTAGAAAAGGCGCGAACTACCAGTATTAAAAAGAAGATTTCTTTTACGTGGCTCTTTCCATTTTTCTTTTTCTTAAAAAAAATGTTACTCTAATCGTTTTTGCTGTTCAACACCGTAAAAACACGCCAATCAATCAAGCGTTTCGTGAAGCCAATACCCTCAAAAAGGCCGAAAGTAGAGTGGTTAGAACTTGTAAAACCACAAATGGGAAACAATATAAGTTGTCTTCCCTCCGACTCTTGACAACGGTAAGTAAATAGCACAACTTGACGACAAAGTACTTCATTTGAAGATGTAAATATTAATTAGTTATTCATGAACCCATTCTTTTTATCCGTATCAGCCTTTTTCCTGACCGAAACTTAAAATTAAAGTTAAATTTACGCGTGGTTCCACGAAATAACAAAAAAAAATTCTTTTCAAAGGATTCATAAGATGTTTTACACTGATCGACAAACTTATTCCCTCCCATTTTCTGTTACACACTTATTAAGCTGTAGCTTAAACTTAATCGCGAATCATGGCCTATTGTTTTGACTCAACTGAGGATGTTTGACTCTATCTGATGTACCATTTGGAAATTTTTACAATACAAAGAGTTTTTGGGACCGTGGACGTTCTTTTGATAATAACGTCCAAAAATCACAGTCTTAACAATATTAGCATTTCTCATCGAACTTTCCTGTTTCTCGACGCTACGTTAGCTGCTTGCCTTAGCACAAATTCTCGGCCGGAAACTGGTGTCTATTTTGCACCATCTACTTGCGAGATCACGTGAATGATCATGCAGTGTAATTACTTCCCCACTTCCCTTCCCCTTTGCTACTAGTTATACCTATAATTCTTGATTGCTATTTTTCAGGAACTATACGTGCGGTAGTTGGGATCATGGTCCTCAACAAGACATCCGAGGAGTACTGGTTCCTAATGCAATTCAACGTGTCCCAAGTGAGCGGGGAGGTGGACATTGTGGACGGCAATGAAACAATAGATTTTTTCCTGATTCGTTTTCATCTTGATTCCGGGTAAATATCATGTTTCAGGGTGTAATTGATATTCATTAACTTTTTTGCCCTCGGAAAAAAAATACTCTTGGTATTTCAAAAAAAACATGTGTTATTGAAATGCTTTGTTTATAGCGAAAGTGCGCTTAGCTGTAAATGCAACGAGCTAGTCTAGAATGCTGACTCCACAGAAATAATTTAAAACGAATAATTCAAATAGAGCAAAATAGAATTAGAAACCCCAGGCCTGTTGAATGGAGACAACCAGTTGCATTAGCCTGTTCCAGGCGTTCAGATAGTGGGGAGCGGTGCGAAAAGGAACAGGCTAAATTTGGGTATGCACAAGTTTAGCTTAAGATTTTAACTGGGGGCGTCCGCCCAGGGACTTCGAGAATTGAACCAAATTTCCCGGTGTTCTCGGGAAATCCGAGTTCGCTCACCCGAATGAAACGGCTTTTTGTTATATTTTTTAGAAATTCAAGTCATGGAAGCAACGTATCATTTGAAATCTATGGTATGAATTCCACTGATGACGGCAAACTACGGCTTGTGTATGGTATTCTTCAACAATTACTGCCGACAGTGAAACGGGACCTTTATGAAAAAGTGGATGGGAAAACTACAGACTCGAATTCTCTCAGTCCTGAAGAGTCTCCCTTGCTTCCTCAGTCAGTGAGGATGCACCGTGAAGCAAACACATCAGATAAGGACACAGTCTCCATCCAGAATCACTTTGATGGATCAGACTTCGTTGGAATGCCATCAGGAGTCGATCTGGACATGAAATAAAGTTCATTCACTTCTCGAGCAGTCCGGTTATCAAGTTGGCCATGTTCCGTAAAAACTTCGTTGTCTTGCATCATTAGCTGAAATTTTTGTGCCATTTCATCCAATTGCTTCTTCGTATTCTCTATACCAATGCAAATATCACACTCGAATATATACCACGTGGAATACCGCCTATCAAATTAGATAATAAAATGTTAGTAAAATGATTCTGGCTTTGGGTGTGGCCAGTCAAATCAAATTTAATAAGTGGTTCTTTACAGTGTTGTTTCAGCATTGCTCAGCATGAATTTCACAGAATGATTAAAATTTTCAGTGTCTGTTATCTGGCCCGGATTTTTGACATGCAATAAATTATTTTTGCTTGGCCGATTTAAATTTAGAGCTCGCAGTCAATCAAATTAAACAAAATCAACTAAGGAACTTGTATAACCCTTTAGGTCGCTGAATGTTGCAAGGGCAGACATATATTTAACCTCACTAAATAATTCAACACGCGCAGACTCATTTACTGATGTACAAAAGTACAAAAATATATTTTGAAGGGTTGTTCTTATATCTCAGAAAAAAATTTACACGTGAAAGTATAATTTCTACTCTTCAGGCACGACCCACCTGATTGAACAATTTTATTCAATAGTTCTAGTGTTAGTACCCTATCTAAAAGGAATGAGCAATTAACTTAGTAGGATCAAAAACGAAAGAAACACTTCGATTATACATTTTTGAGGAGATCCAGATCGCTGGTTACTAGCAACACAAACATACAAAAAAAATCTAACTTTCGTTCACTCAGCGCCTTATTTTAAATCTTTCAGTAAACTTTGGTCAAGTGAGAATCAAGGCGAATTAGCGAGATAAGACGCATATAATGACCGATGTAATTTTCTCTCTCGGAGAAAAAAGCCGCGTAGAAAAGGCGCGAACTACCAGTATTAAAAAGGGGAAAATTTCTTTTACGTGGCTCTTTCCATTTTTCTTTTCTTAAAAAAAAAACGGTTACTCTAATCGCTTCTGCTGTTCAACACCGTAAAAACACGCCAATCAATCAAGCGTTTCGTGAAGCCAATACCCTCAAAAAGGCCGAAAGTAGAGTGGTTAGAACTTGTAAAACCACAAATGGGAAACAATATAAGTTGTCTTTCCTCCGACTCTTGACAACGGTAAGTAAATAGCACAACTTGACGACAAAGTACTTCATTTGAAGCTGTAAATATTAATTAGTCATTCATGACCCCATTCTTTTTATCCGTATCAGCACCGGAACTTAAAATTAAAGTTAAATTTACGCGTGGTTCCACGAAATAACAAAAATGAAATTCTTCTCGAAGGATTCATGAGATGTTTTACACTGATCAACAAACTTATTCTCTCCCATTTTCTGTTACACACTTATTAAGCTGTAGCTTAAACTTAATTGTGAATCATGGCCTATTGTTTTGACTCAAGAGAGGATGTTTGACTCTATGTGATGTACCATTTGGAAATTTTTACAATGCAAAGAGTTTTTGGGACCGTGGACGTTCTTCTAATAATAACGTCCAAAAATCACAGTCTTAACAATATTAACGTTTCTCATCGAACGTTCCTCCTCTTTTCTCGACGCTACGTTAGCTGCCTGTCTTAGCACAAATTCTCGGCCGGAAACTGGTGTCTGTTTTGCACCAACTACTTGCGAGATCACGTGAATGATCATGCAGTGAAATTACTTCCCCACTCCCCTTCCCCTTTGCTACTAGTTATACCTGTAATATCATAGGTGACGAATTACTCCTTAATTTTGGCGCGAAATTTCAGCGTTAATTTGTAATTTCACATGTGAAATTACAAAATTGCCATGGCAACCCTTCCGTATGTCTCAGTGTCAAGATGGCGACGAAGTTTAAAATGCTGTGAATGAAGATGTCAGGGCACAAAAAGACGCTTTAGAAAACCTGAACACACAAGAGAACATCAAGAACAATTCTAACAGGTATTTTGCCGAAAAAGTCTGAAAAATTCTGAACTATATAAGCCAAATTTAAGGTCTAAACATTTGAGAGAGTGGAGTTCTCGATCGATACGATCCAGGATAAACATGTCAAAAATCCAAGATTGCCAACGTAATTCGTCACCTTTGATATTAATAGGTAATCAAATGGTATACTCGTGAAATTAGGGAATAATTTCACTTGCGTTTTGTCCAAATCCTAATAATTTCCCTCGCCTGAAGGCTCGGGAAATCATTAGGATTTGGACAAAACGCGCGTGAAATTATTCCCTAATTTCACTCGTCACCATTTGATTACACATACTAATTCTTGATTGTTATTTTTCAGGAACTATACGCGCGGTAGTTGGCATCATGGTCCTCAACAAGACATCCGAGGAGTACTGGTTCCTAATGCAATTCAACGTGTCCCAAGTGAGCGGGGAGGTGGACATTGTAGACGGCAATGAAACAATAGATTTTTTCCTGATTCGTTTTCATCTTGATTCCGGGTAAATATCATGTTTTCTGGGTGTAATTTATATTCATTAACTTTTTTGCTCTCGGAAAAAAAAATACTCTTGGCATTAAAAAAAAAATGTGTTATTGAAATGCTTTGTTTATAGCGAAAGTGCGCTTAGCTCTAAATGCAACGAGCTAGTTTAGAAGCGTGACTCCACAGAAATAATTAAAAACGAATAATTCAAATAGGGCAAAACAGAATTAGAAACCCCTATTGACTGGAGACAACCGGTTGGATTTGCCTGTTCCAGGCGTTCAGATAGTGGGGAGCGCTGCGAAGTAAAAAGGAACAGGTTACGGTTGGATATGCACAACTGGAGGCGTCCTTCCAGGGGCTTCGAGAATTTAACCAAATTCCCCGGCCTTCTCGGGAAATCCGAGTTCGCTTACCCGAATGATTATATTGAACTTACTTACCTAATGGACATGGGTTAAAACCCTTCTTCAAACTACATAGCAACCTGTGATTCCGATAGAAGAATTCGACCTTCGAGGGACTTATACGATTACTACCCGTTTACGAGCAGTGTACCTAACACAGCTTTTAAACAAACAAGGGTTGTGAGGCGGTGCCTACAGTCGTCCTTATCTGAGCTAGGACTACAAAGTCAAACCGTTTGCAGATAACTTCAAACAACATAATATATCACTCTGTAATGCAAATCAAGTTTTCCTGGTCATAAAAGACAAACATTAGCCTAGATTCAGCGGCACGTACATGCATATTACATAATCTAACTTTTAAAAAAGACTGTTCAATCATGGCTGTTTTTGGGAGTACAAATGAAAAGGCTCTCTGTTATTAATTTTAGAAATTCAAGTCATGGAAGCAACGTATCATTTGAAATCTATGGTATGAATTCCACTGATGACGGCAAACTACGGCTGGTGCATGGTATTCTTCAGCAATTACTGCCGACAGTGAAACGGGACCTTTATGAAAAAGTGGATGGGAAACCTACAGACTCGAATTCTCTCAGTCCTGAACAGTCTCCTTTGCTTCCTCAGTCAGTGAGGATGCACCGTGAAGCAAACACATCAGATAAGGACACAGTCTCCATCCAGAATCACTTTGATGGATCAGACTTCGTTGGAATGCCATCAGGAGTCGATCTGGACATGAAATACTCTGATTCTGCGCTCATAAAAAAGAGCAACGGGATGGTGTCAGAGAGTCGTGTATACTTTTCTGAACAGCTAAATCTTGGAGGCGAGATTGACGGCCAGAGCGGTGGGGGTGTTCCTACGATGAAAGTAACTTTAATGAGTCGAATATCCCTCGTTGAGACTGAATATTTTGGATTCGCCGATTTAGAAACGGACGACCTTTTTGTGAAGCTGGTGGTTCGGAAGGCAACTGCGAGCATTTCCGTTAACAATACTCAAAGTGAATCGAGTGAACAGAGCATCTCTGGCGACGCGTCGCTGAAACGCTCTCGGCGATCGGTGTATAACAACGTTAGCAACGTTAACGAGTCGCAGGTTGCTGAAATCTGGGATAGAATCCCTCCAGTTTGTCTTTTCGTCAATCGCACCACGTTTCTCCTTCTAAATGAGACTGTTCTAGGCGTAAGAGTGAAATTGCTTGCGTCCTTGACAGTTAATATAGACGGAGTCGGAATGCCGCAAATAGAAGTTGAGCTCACTTTGAAAATTGGAGTACGTTTAATCCGCACGGTTTATAGACGAAACTTCACAATTCCGCCACAGTTGGGAATGGGCTCTACAGTTATTGAGGCACAAAGGAGGATACTTCTGGTAAGTATGATTAGGATGAAATGCCTTTCCTAGTGTGAGGCTAGGTTTACATTAATCTAATAAAGAAATATAAATGTTTCAGGGTTTCCAACATTTAGGGTAATCGAATTCGCAGTGGTTCGTACAAATCAGTTAAATACGAGAACATTCTATTCGTATACAAAGTATTCAGTTTAGATCAGATTCTGTATTCCAAATACCCAATCACGTGACTAAACCAGGAAATATTCATTTCGAATTCACACATCTGTGTGTAAACGACAAAACAACTGACCCGGTACCAAGATGTTCCAGATTCATCACAAATCTCCTTTCGTGTAAATCTATAGCTAGAGTGTGAAAAAGCAAATGTCTGAACTCTTCCACTTGGTGCTTCCCTCCCCTCCCCCGCCCCCACGCCCGCTTCCCTCCCCATTTTGATCAAACTGTCTCTCTCGTTGGCATCCGCAGAAATTTGTCCTGGTTCTAACTTCTTTAAAACTTGTTCTAATATAAAGAGCCTCTTGGTAATGATCATACTCTAAGAACGAAGTATAGAACACACCCTTTAAATACCTGGGCTTCTAATCTGGCTAATATGGTAATTAGTACCCAATAACATAACTTGCTATACTATTTTTCTCTTCACAGTCCTTAGACCTCTCTGATTTTAGCATACAATCACTAACGACAGAGCTCCTCCTAATTTTTAATGTCCAGTTCCGAGTTAGCCTTCCTGCTGACGGAAACTCCCTCGATCCTCTTAAGCTGAAAGTTAAGGTAATAAATTTAACTAAATTTGATTTATTTGTCTGCAGCATTACAGCAATTTTCAGTGGAGTGTAGAAAGAAATTTTTTCTTAGCTTTGACTTTTACTGAATTGCTCCTCCATGTGACTGGCCAAACAATATCGCGTTATTCTCTCAAACAGTCACAACTTATCAGAACCAAACCAATCGTGTCCCCAAGCTATAGGCTAAACGTGAAAATCCCGAAACTGAATTATATCTAACCCAGTAAGAAGTCAAACCAAAACTAGCTTAACTAGCTTAAATAGCCTAGCGCTTTAGGCTATTGTAAAGTTGCGTCGGGAACTGGGTTAACATTCGTCCCNTCACAAATCTCCTTTCGTGTAAATCTATAGCTAGAGTGTGAAAAAGCAAATGTCTGAACTCTTCCACTTGGTGCTTCCCTCCCCTCCCCCGCCCCCACGCCCGCTTCCCTCCCCATTTTGATCAAACTGTCTCTCTCGTTGGCATCCGCAGAAATTTGTCCTGGTTCTAACTTCTTTAAAACTTGTTCTAATATAAAGAGCCTCTTGGTAATGATCATACTCTAAGAACGAAGTATAGAACACACCCTTTAAATACCTGGGCTTCTAATCTGGCTAATATGGTAATTAGTACCCAATAACATAACTTGCTATACTATTTTTCTCTTCACAGTCCTTAGACCTCTCTGATTTTAGCATACAATCACTAACGACAGAGCTCCTCCTAATTTTTAATGTCCAGTTCCGAGTTAGCCTTCCTGCTGACGGAAACTCCCTCGATCCTCTTAAGCTGAAAGTTAAGGTAATAAATTTAACTAAATTTGATTTATTTGTCTGCAGCATTACAGCAATTTTCAGTGGAGTGTCGAAAGAAATTTTTTCTTAGCTTTGACTTTTACTGAATTGCTCCTCCATGTGACTGGCCAAACAATATCGCGTTCATCTCTCAAACAGTCAGAACCAAACCAATCGCGTCCCCAAGCTATAGGCTAAACGTGAAAATCCCGAAACTCAATTATATCTAACCCAGTAAGAAGTCAAACCAAAACTAGCTTAACTTGCTTAAACGGCAGAGTATTCCTGCGCTTAGGACCTGCCAGGGTTTCTTCGAGATCTGATTGGCTCATAATCATACTTGAAATGCGCACTTTGTTTCTTCAGTTTGTGTTACCGCGCCATGATCAACTGAAAAAGAGCTCTTCGTTAATTAAAGAGGTCTCGCAATGCAAAATATTGAAAGGCAGGCACTTTTCCTCTATATCCGAGAATATGTGCCCGGACAAGGTCAATTCCCCACGGCCTACAGATATAAATGCAAAGGACAAAATGAAGGATTTAATACAAACTTAAAAGATGCATTCTTACTGATAGTGTTAGAATCGTATCTTTAAAAGAAACTTGCATAGCATGCAGTACGAGTAAACTTAGCACGCGTTTGAAAAAAGTTACCAGGCATTTCTTGAACACTGAGAACGAAGACCGACAACATAACAAGTAAGACTACACAACATACTTTTAAACTGAGGATTGCCATTGGCTTGAGTTGGTCGGTGTTATGTCGAGTTTTTCTATGGAAATGTTTTAAGGAAGCTAGCGCTTTAGGCTATTGTAAAGTTGCGTCGGGAACTGGGTTAAAATTCGTCCCCTAAAACAGTCCCATAGTGCAATTCGACTTAACACAGACCCAGTCTCACGCGAACCCTCAAAATAACCAGTGTCCACACGAGTCCGTTTAATTTTTATATACGAACACAAACTTTATTTTTCTGCTTTTGTCCACATGGGATCGGCTTTTATCCCTTTACGCACTTAGCCAATCAGAAGCCGACTGTGTTTCTTGCTGTTGCAGGAAATTTTGGGTTGTGGTGTGGGTATTGAATGTCCAAGGATTTCTACTGATTGCACCGTCCGCAATTCAAACTATCAATCTTGACACCTTTCGCGAAGAAAATATCCCGTAAATTAGTCGCTCCAGTATGGGAACCGCAATCGCAAATTTTTACATAAAAGTGTACAAAAGAATTACAAAATAAAAAACTCACATGTAAGGACGTAATCTAAAATCTAAATGGGAAGAAATTAAATATGGCGCGTTTAAAATATTATGTGGGACGTATTATCCAATCTAATAATAGCTCTTTTATGTTCTTTGTTTTCTTCAGGTGGAACCTATCACCAAGATATCCTTGTTTGTGAAGACATTCCGTTTTCGCTATCATTGGTTCCGACATACCCAAGTTAGAGCTAATATGCAGGGTACATTGGTAGACGTTAGTCTCCCTGTGACCCTGTCCTTCTGTAATGACACGCTGTGTGCCTCATTATCTGTTCGCCTGAACGCGCTGAGACTGGGAGGCGGCATTACTATTTGGCTGCCTCGACGAGTAATAAAGAGGGTGTGCGGCTTCAAGTGGGAGTGGACCCGACTTTGGAGGAGCAGATGGGGATGGAGATGGGGAAGGAAAAGGATAAGGAAATGCAGCTCCCAAATACGGCGGCTGTATGTAAACAAGTTACTGCTGCTCAGCAGCGTATTGTACCCCACAGTCAACAGGAACGAGACACTGCTCCAGGTCTGCAACATCACGAAGAATGAAAGTATTTCAATTTCACCATCTTTGTCACCATCAACTTCGTTTTCACTATCTGCATCGATTTCCCTGTCAAACTCTGTATCAATTTCGCCAACTACATCGGCATCAACATCCGCGTCCCTATCTACATCGGCATCGCCATCCTCGTCCCTATCTATGTCGGCATCACCATCCACATCCATATCTACGTCGACTGCACCATCCACGTCCATATCTGCATTGCCATCACCTTCCGCGTCCCTGTCTATATCGGCGTCACCATCCACGTCCTTATCTATATCGATTGCACCAACTTCATCAACACTTGTAATAGCAAGTAGCGCGTAAAAGTGTATAAACTGTGTCAACTGCTGGAACTGTTGCAGTCACAACGGCAATGCAAATAACGTCAAACTAAACTGCTGCTTACCAAACCTAACACCATTAAATACGTTATAGGTAGGCCCATTCGACACTATGTAAAAAAAGTGGCTTTATGGACACCAAATAACATAATACTTAAGACCGCCAGTGTTGCTCACTATTTATTGATTGTGTTGAACATTACACATTCATTATCATTAGCCCAGCAGTGAGATCCAGCCGTTTTTTAAAGAGTGCATTTTTCAAAAAATAAAATTTGACCGTGTCAACTTTGTTCCTGTTTCCGTGACTGATGATCTTAAAACGAAATAAAATTGCTTGGTTGGTAACAAACTGTTTCATGAGTTTTTCTGCACGACTTCTTGAGACTTCAGTTGAGAACTGCCCATCACAGAATCACCTCTCCAACTAAGCCTATTTCCAAGTTCCAACCCCCCTCCCCTTCCTCTAAATTTCACAGTGAGGCCAAGCGCAATAAACCTTTCTTATGAAAATGGCTTCTACCTCATTTCTCATTTAAACATCATTTCCCTATTAAAGGCTTCGCACTAAGGGGCCCAGATCGCGGCAAGTTACAGTAGAACCCCGGTAACTCGAACTCTGAAGGGAAGCGAAAAACAGTTCCAGTTAGCAAGAGTTCGAGTTACGGGGGTCGATTTCAAAATTTCAGTTCGCCACATTAAGAATTGATAGCTATAATGATTTTTCAGCACCTTAGTGTAAAGTGCAATGCAAATTTGACTTATTTCATCAGAAAAGGTAACTTGATTGGGCATTTTTTGTGATAATTAAAACGGGATCTGTTCGTTGCACCATCAAACTGATGTAGTGTTGACCAGTGTTTGTTTTAGTGTTTTTACCGATTATACAAAAAGAAGAACTAATGGGATGACATCGATCCGAGTGGAGTTCAACAACCAGAATTCGGGTTATCGGGGTAAAATTTCAGTGAATTTTTGATGAATTAAAGCTGGGGTCGGAAATAAAATTTAGGTCGAGTTAGCGGGTAATTCGAGTTATCTGAGTTTCAGTTAACCGATTAAAAATGTCTGAAAAGTGGGGTGAAATCCAAGGGAAAATGGACTTAGTTCGAGTTAGCGGCTGAGTTCGAGTAGTCAGAGTACCAGTTACCGGGGATTTTTAATACGACAAATAGAGGCTTGGGTCTAGCCCGCTGTTCGCCCACTACTATGCGTCACACTTTGTTTTTCGGAAAAACAATTCGCAATTCGCAATTTGGTCAAGATTAGCTGGTTATTAAACCAGTCAGAAAAGGAAAAATATTAGATCGTCGTCTAAGGATGTTAGTGTGATACTTTTTATTCGTTTATGCACAGGGAACCCAAGCTCGAAATATGACCATCGGCACTGTTGCAAAACGTTAAAAATAAAAGGATTTATAGAAAAAAAAAAACAATTGTTTCGTAGCCTACGAACATTAAAAGAATTTAAAACAAAACGGCTTACCTCGCTTAATTTGTGTGGTTTCCGAACCGATTTATGGCCATTTAATGGGTTTTATTGGAACCAGTTTGCTCTTTTTATAATCCTTTCCCAAGATTGGGTACGGGAGCGAAGCAGTCGAAAGGATCCACTAAAGGAAAACGGTCATAAATTCGCTCCAAAGGCTCCACTCGCCCCCGCATTCCACCTGTATCCCAGATGATAGTTCTTCTTTCCATTCGTGGACTTCNTAACCGATTAAAAATGTCTGAAAAGTGGGGTGAAATCCAAGGGAAAATGGACTTAGTTCGAGTTAGCGGCTGAGTTCGAGTAGTCAGAGTACCAGTTACCGGGGATTTTTAATACGACAAATAGAGGCTTGAGTCTAGCCCGCTGTTCGCCCACTACTATGCGTGCCACTTTGTTTTTCGGAAAAACAATTCGCAATTCGCAATTTGGTCAAGGTTAGCTGGGTATTAAACCAGTCAGAAAAGGAAAAATATTAGATCGTCGTCTAAGGATGTTTAATAGTGTGATACTTTTTATTCGTTTATGCACAGGCCACCCAAGCTCGAAATATGACCATCGGCATTGTTGCAAAACGTTCAAAATAAAAGGATTTATAGAAAAAAAAACAACAACAATTGTTTCGTAGCCTACGAACATTAAAAGAATTTTTAAAATAACGGCTTACCTCGCTTAATTTGTGTGGTTTCCGAACCGATTTATGGCCATTTAATAGGTTTTATTGGAACCAGTTTGCTCTTTTTATAATCCTTTCCCAAGATTGGGTACGGGAGCGAAGCAGTTGAAAGGATCCACTTAAGGAAAACAGTCATAAATTCGCTCCAAAGGCTCCACTCGCCCCCGCATTCCACCTGTATCCCAGATGATAGTTCTTCTTTCCATTAGTGGACTTCTTTACTGAGTGGCATTTGTGAAAGGCGCAAACCGGTTCCAATAAAACCCGCATTAAATGGCCATAAACCGTCTTGGAAACCTCAAAGGAACGAAGAAACACACAACTTAAGCGAGGTTAGACAGTTTTTATTTAAATCCTTTCACATTGGTAGGCAATTGTTTTCCTCATATTTTTAACGTTACGCAACAAATCAAGCAAGGTGAACTGTCCTACAAAGAGAGACTGATCCATCTGGATCTGCTACCGCTTACCTATGACCTCGAGGTCAAGGATTTAGTATTTCTTTATAGGGCCTTATATGGCTATATTGATATTGATATTAGTTTTATTAAGAGTGTTAGTCACGGCCATACTCGACGATCTCAATCAAGTGATTTAAAGTATTTGGAAACGCCCTTCTGTAAATCAGCTACCTATCAGTCCTCCTTTTTTAATCGCAGTATTAAATAATGGAACCAAATATGTAAATTAATTCAGCCCATTGACTTTCTAAACATAAAGACTTTTAAGAATAGTATAACTAACTTGTACAAAGATGAATTAGCAAATGTCTTTGATCCCGATAAACCATGCTCATGGGGTCTTGCACGTAATTGTGGGTGCCAGTGTCAACAATAGTTTAATAAGCATTTCTTAAGATTTTTGCTGATTTAGTCCGGAGGTGCCATGCACGGGACTCCAGGTCCCTTTTGCACCTTACCATTTGGTCTTTTTTTTCCCGTTACTGTAACTATTTATTTAGAGAGACTCAGACCAATAAAGTTGATAAAACAAAACAAAAACAAAACAACAGTGCCGATATTTCATATTTCGGTGGTTTATGCCAATGATAATAATAATAATAATACGTTTATATAGCGTCCTTTCCCAGTGGTCCAAAAACGCTTCACAGAAGGCAAAGCATAATTAAAAAGTACAAAATCCCAAACTATGTCTATAAAAATTAAACATTACATATAAAAAGTGCAAATAACAATGAAAATTCAATGTTCCATGTAAGCCCGTAAGACATAAATGTTCCTTCAGTTTCCGTTTAAGAGTTTCGACCGATTGCAAGTCTCTTACTGACTGTGGAAGGGAGTTCCACAACACTGCTGACGCCATAGACTGCAAAACAGTCGGTTTTTCTCTCAAAATCAGTAACTAAATCGGTAAAGCATAGCCTAAGAGTCTTACGCGCCAGAAGCGCGCGAGCCTCACTCGCCCTACGGGCTTGTGGCGTGTGTGTCTCTCCCCAGTCTCGCTCTCTGTTTTCAGAATTGTTCAGGGCCTTTTGTTTGACTGTTCGCGCGTACTTGAATACGCAAACATACGCACTGTTTTGCAGTCTGATCTACTGACCGTAGAGGCAAACGACTGACCACCGTAGGACTTAAGATTGTACTCGGGTATCTTCAAAAGGTTTTTGGAGAATGAGCGATGTGATCTTGAAGTTGTATAGGATATAAGAAGATCTGTTGAATACGTTGGAGCTTGCTTGTTGAGTGCTTTAAATGTAATTAGAAGAATCTTTTAAAAATTTAAAAATTCTATCCGCTGTTGGATGGGTAGCCAATGGAGTTCCTTGAGGAGAGGCGCTATGTGATTATATCTGTTAGATTTTAAACACTATTCTCGCAGCGTGGTTTTGTACTCGTTGGAGCCTTCGCAATAAATATTTGGGAACGCCATACAGCAAGGGGTTGCAACAATCAAACCTTTGAAGTAACAGTGGCAGGTACTAGGGTTTTCGTGTTTAAGGTATTGAGAAACCCCCTAGCTAATCTTGGAGATGTTACGAACTCCATGTGAAAAAAAGCCGGCAGATTTACACACCACTGTTATGTGAGGAACCATTGACAGAGCCATTATCGAGAGTGACACCAATGTCGTTTGCAGTGAAGGAACAGTTAACTACCTCATCAACAATGGTCAGATTACCGATGTTTGGTCTTGGAAGCGGTAAAAACCAGCATCTCCGTTTTATCCTGGTTTAGCTTGAGTCGATTATGTACCATTCAAAGATCGATATCACGAACACAGGCCTCTATCGAGGTCTTGCCCCGATCTGCATCATTTGTACTGTTTGTACAGCATGTTTTAAATGATATGTACAGTTGCAAGTTATCCGCATAGAAATGGTAATTCATTTGACGTTGCTTGGAGAAGTGTATGAAGAATACAATATCGGACCCAAAACTGAACCTTGAGGGACACCTTGAGTGACATATAATGAATTCGATGAGGTGTCATTTACTTTCACATATTGCGTACGGTCAGACAAATATGAGACAAACCAGTCTAGCGCCCCACCACGAATCCCAAAACGAGTAGAAAGCCTCCGTATTAAAATCGTATGGTCTACAGTGTCAAATGCTGCAGATAAATCAAGAAGAACGAGAATGACTGAATGACCACTATCAATCGCGGTAACAATATCATCCTCAACTTTTTTTAATGCGGTCTTTGGGTCATGGAATTTCTTGTACGCAGACTGTAAGGGTACATAAAGAATATTTCAAAACAATTCAACCGTCGCGCAAAGCTGCCTGGATATATTAGTAAATATGTCATTTCCGTGTTCCAGAAACCCTCACTTCAAAACGAGGCTAAGTGCAAAACCTTTGTTGTGAAAATGAGTTTTATGTGCTTGAGAATGAAAAAACTAATTTTCATATCCATGGTTTCCTACTTAGCCTCGCTTTGAAACAGAGGCTTGAGGCAACTCGAGAATAGCCTAATTGGATTTAAACAATTTTTCTGAGGAGGGGATTCTGTAAGTTGTGCGCCTGTCAGTATCTTTAGAGCAAGTCAGTAAACACGGTTTCACAACGTTTACGATTTATGGTTTGTTTACAAGGACGTTTACTGCGAATTGACCAGGTTGAAGTTCTAGTTGTTTCCCCATTTAGGAACTTCAGTAGGTGTGCAACCGCCAACATCACAGCTCAGATCAAGGGGATCAAAACCCAGACCAAGCCCGGTAAAAGAGCTTTCTGTGTACCGCGCCGCGCATCGAACCTTGCGGTCTAAGATTAACGGTTTTCGTAAGTGTTATCTCCAAGTTAACAAAACTCGTCTTTTAGGGACCAGATGTGCAGAAAAGAATGACGCTCATTTAAGCGCTTCCAAAAATGACATAACCAAGCTGGACGTAAGCTAACTTAGGTAGCTTTGAAACTTCTTTATGCTGTTGTAGCTGATGCAAATGGAAGAAACAAGAAAAACAAAGACAAAGTCAGAAAAATGAAAGAGAAATCCCTAAGGACTTCATGAAAGAACTTGTTACAAAAATCATTCAAAGCTACAGCTGCATCTACAGTTACGTCCGTAAATTAACACCTCATAACAAAAACCCAGAAATCAACTGTATGATCGATTTAATGAGTATTTGTGAAAGATGTATTTTAAATAAACCATATAAGAACTGCGGAAATGAAAACAAATGAAGAATGATCCTAGCAGCTGTGAACACAATTTATGTAATTGCGTAAGTAACATAAGTAAGCCTGAACAATTCGGGATATTGAACCCGTGACTTTGCGATACCGGTGTGATGCTGTAACCAACTGAGCTATGAAGCCACTGATGTTGGGAGCTGGTCAATTATGTGTTCATATGTTCCCGTGAAAGAGATGAATTTGAAAGATGTATATGAAATAAATCATATAGGAACTGCAGAAATGAAAACAAATGAAGAATGATCGTCGCAGTTGTGAACGTAATTTATGCAATTGCGTACGAAGCCTGTTTCATTTGTTAATAAGTACTGTATGAAATTCAAGCTTGCATGCATGCAGTTACATAATCTTACATATGCTGTGCTGGAGACCGAGCCTAGGGTTGGATGACACAGGTAACTAAAGCAACTAACCAAAATTCTGGTTAACCTGTGGCTCCTCGACCCAGGTCTCTTCAAAAATCTAGCAGCTCTGCAGCCCATATCGATGCCTGCGAGTTTTTCTCCCGGCTTTTTGCCTTTTAATTACATCCTCAACACATTTCCTTGTCTTTCCGGAAAGACACGGATTTTTGGATAAATTGAGGAATAAAATCCTTGTTAAGGGAGAATTCGTGGAGCTTATAATCCCGTATAAAGATCGGTTACCGGCTCTGTCAGCTGTACAGGACATGCCCTCTACCAAACAGGCAGAAAAAGATCGCTTGATCAACGAACTTCCGAAGGTAAGAGAGTCATTCAATTCCACTTGCTGCCACGCAGCATGATAAAGGTTTTAAGATGCGTTTGTTATGGTTTGAGTTATAAATGAAGAAAGTTGCAACAGTGGTGAAAGCAAGCTAGGCAAGGAAATGCCCAACTATTTTTAACTATTTTTAAGATCTATATTATCTGTTAAATGATCTACATCACAGTTTATATTCAATTTGTTGCTACTCTTACCTCACAGTTAAATATCAGGAATTTTGCTTCACATTTATGGTAAATTCAATTGTTTATGGTTCTTTCATGGGGGCCATTTAAAATTTACAGATGTCCACTGAAGTTTATTTTTCTGTAATTAATTTTATATTGAAATAAACACCAGTCTGCATAGCATTTGCACTTAAGTTTTATTTTCCTTTGGTTAAGCTTTCCTTACAACCCCATTCATTAATTATGCACGTAGCGATTACATACTGTTTCACACAATTAACAGTTACACAAATAGAGTTGAAAAATTTATGCATAATAAATGTATCGGGCTGTACGAAAATCTTACCTTTTCTGTCTTTTCTCAGTTTTAACATGCCTATTGTGTATGCCAAAATTTTGCCATTACTTGCAGCTCAAACCCTATTAGGATGGCACTAAACAACTATAGTATTTAGTGATATAGCAGTCTAACAACTCAGTTACACCCACTGAGCACATGGAACAAAAATACCTCTGCAACGAGTGCAGATAATTCTCTTTAAGTTCTACCGTGAATAGAATATGAAGGAGGAAAACTAACACTCCAAGTCCCAATTGTTTAAAGGTTGAATAGGGACACCTACCCAAAACATTACATTTGCATAGGGCCTGTAAGATGTGTATTTAAGATCAATGTAACAGCTCTTTGAAAATCAAAAGTATTCACTAATTTTGAGGTTTGCAGGGAAATGTGATGTTTGGGGGTGGGGCATGGGACCTCCTAGTATTGTTATACGTACTATTTCAATAGAAGCACTGATTATTGGAGTGAAGCACTGAGTGTTTTATAGATCTGAGCATACCATCCTGCATACACATGTATTACATGAATAACTTTATCCAATGTCTTTAAATGGGCAGGCTTGAAAGCATCTGTCCTATTTACCTGTACAAAGTACATATTGTACTGTAATATGTTTGATCAAATTCAATTTTAACCTGTTGATTAAGGGTGGCTTATCTTTTCCTTGATGTAGTTCTATACAGCAGATGCAGCACCAAGACAGGCTCTTCATTTTCATTCAAAAGTTAGGGATGCATGCTCCACAGGAAACACTGGAAATATATCGTAAGTCTACCCTTAAAGAGGAACAGAATTTTTTTTACATGAGTTCATATACAATCTTGAGGTTGTTTAATACTGAGTCACAGAATGGTAGTGAAAATATTATTGAAATGTTATCTGTAAATGAGTGGAAATATTAGTGTTATTAATAACACTATTCATGCAAAGATCTTCCTTTTCCAATTCAATCATCACTCTTTTTGCTTCTTTTGATTTTCAAGTTTTCATTGGCCAGTTAATTCATAATGGTGTCTAACAATAACTACCATATCATAAGAAAGTTCTTTGAATAGATTGTCTACTCTGGAAAGGCTTTATGTACTGTACTTAACTTTGTGCTATCATAGAGTCAGCTCTGGACATCCCATACACACAGTTTCTTTGAATACCTTATTGGCACTTTATTCTAAGGGTCTTTAATGTTGTGATTGTAAAAAAAAATTGAGAAATTAAAGACCCGCGAAAATAAATCCTTGTGAAGAAGACTTGGTTTATATACGTTTCTGAATGTGAGTTATAAACTATCCTTAGTGCCCGCTCTTGAATTCTTTCAACCTTTCTTGTATCCGACGCCTTACAGAAATGCCATGTGGGATGACAATAGGTGAGATATGGCATGATAGCAGTTTTATGAAATAATAGTTTAGTCTCCTTAGTAATTAAGTTTAGTCTCCATAGTAATTAAGTCTTATCACTTAAATGCAATTTGCAGGTAATTACATTTATAATAATTTGTGAAACTGTATATTACTATTCTTATTATGATTAATCGTAAAATGTATTCAAAATTTCTATACAACTGCAGCAAATCCACACAGCGATGATGGTGTTGAAGGGTTTCTTCTTTTTTGTCCTTTTTACCACTAATAGACTGAAGGTGGCCAAATCAATCATTGTTGGTGACAGTGGCGTTGGAAAAACATGTCTAGTGAACAGGTTGGTCTATGAATTCAGCTGTACATGTATTGTATACACTGTGAAGTGACAGTGTACTCTGGTTTTGATTTTTTAAAACCTTGCAAACCGGTGCATGACACTCCTTGGTGGTATGTGGCTGATTGTTAGATACAGTAGAAGCACCCAGAATACAGTCTATATATACCACTGACAGTAAAAATATATATCCTTAAACCATGCCCTCCCTAATTTCTCTCCCTAATTCTCTATCTATCTCTCCTAACTCCTTCCCCCTGCCGCACCCCCATAAAAAAAAAAAAAAAAAAAAATGCTTGATCATAGGTAAAGTTAAATAAATTTCTCAAGTTGACAGTGAGTGTTTGTTTGGCAGGTACTGTCGTAACTTATTTGAGAGAGACTAAAAAGAAACAATTGGCGTAGATTTTTAGGTTGAACGATTTATGATTTTTGATCAAGAGTTTAACATGCAAATGTAAGAAGCAAATCAAACTTCTATGCCAAGCTCGAGCAAGAAACACATTGATGGTTTATGGCAAATAGTAAAATACCTACGAAGCAACAATAATTAAGTAAAAATAATCCACATAAAATAAAAATATATATCATTGGACCTTGCCCTCCCTTTTTACCCTCCCAAATTCTCTATCAATCCCTCTTAGCTCCTTCCCCCCGCCCCACCCCCATAAAAAAAAAAAAGAAAAAATGCTTGATCATAGGTATAGTTAAATACATTTCTCAAGTTGACAGTGAGTGTTTGTTTGGCAGGTACTGTCGTAACTTATTTGACAGAGACTACAAAGCAACCATTGGCGTAGATTTTGAGGTTGAACGATTCATGATTCTTGATCAAGAGTTTAACATGCAAATGTAAGAAGCACATCAAAATTCCGTACCTTGTTGTTGTTGTTGTTGTTCAAGAAAAAAGCATATAATTCTCTTACTTTTTTAATGTAGCTGTCATTATGCAGTAAAGGATTGTTTTGACACATTGCTATGATCACTTAATCACTAGGTTCACCAACCAAATACCTTTTGTGGGGTTTTATTTTAGGGATTTCAATAGGCAAATATGAAAAAGGGCTTTAATTTTGCAGAATATTAAAATTTCAAGATTTGACATGCAGAATCGCAAACTTTCAAAATCTAACATGCAGGATTATTTATAGATTTAACATACAGAATATTGAAATTTCAAGATTTGATATGCATTGATATCTTGAAATTTCACAATTATGCAGGACATTGAAATTTGAAGATTTGTCATGAAGAATAATATTATATTGAAATTTCAACATAATTTTTAGTAGTCGTAGCAACCAAACAATCATACACTATTTATGGAAACCAACCTTAAGTTAAACGGAATGCACAAATTCAAATGCAAGCACTGTGGCTGTTTATATAAAATACACTTTGAATCATACAGTTAGAGTTATGTAGCAAATCACATATTGTTTGGTTTTGGTGAAATGTAATGATATGAGCATCACTGCATGTTGCAGTTGGGATACAGCTGGGCAAGAAAGATTCAAGTGCATGGCAGCATCTTATTACAGAGGTGCTCATGGTATGTTATATAAATAGAAAACTGAGCAGTTCAAGAATTCAGCTGGTCTGAACACATTAGGGGAGCTTTAGGAAAGACGTTTTTGAGAGACACATGTCAACCAGAAGTCACCTTCCCCCGCCTTTTAATATCCCTTGAGGCTACCAATTTTTTATTACTCGGTTTGTTTCTCCTTCATAGAGACTATCTGCTGGAAAATTTAGGCAAAACCACCGCCAAAGAATGCAAAAACTGCACTTCCAGTTGACATGTGTCACTCACAAACGTCTTTGCTACCCTATACTAGAGTAAACTCCCCAAATCCCCCCTATCCTAGAATAGCTGTTTTCCAGAAACTACTGAGGTCACCAGCACAGTAGTCTAGCCAAAACAAAACCTTATACCACAATCCCGAGTCTAAATAAGATCTTCAACCAACAGTGATCAGTTTCCTGAAAAATGATACCCTATTCCAGACCTAAACGCTCTGATTTATATACCCTATCCCAGAGTAAACTGCTTGAAAACCATACCCTTCACAGCGGCACATACCAATATAGCCCATATATGGCAGTCCCCCGCACCCCCGGGTCTTTGCTTAAGCTCTCTATTGATTTCAGTCTTCTAAGTCAAGACAAAGTTGTCACTGAGTAGCACCTAGAGCCAGCCTGTCCTCTAAGAGAAATTGAAGGGAGCACAAGTGTCATCAAAGAGCTAATTGGCAAAAATAAGACATTCAAGCAATGGTGATGCAGTGGTAAAAGCACTCACCTTCCACTAATGTGGCCCAGGTGCAAATTCCATGGTCAATACCATGGTTGACTTTGTTGTTGCTTCTCTCCTTTGCTCAAAGAGCTTTTTTTCTCTGGGTTCTCCGGTTTTCCCATCTCCTCAAAAACCAACATTTCCTCATTCCAGCTGTTTGATCAGGAATCAGGTAACCAAAGAACTACTGAGAGGATGTGCTACTTCTAAGTCATTATTTATTTCAATTATACATTTATTTATTTATTTATTCATTTCTTTAATATTGTTTATGTATGTACACTTATAGTTTTTTCATTTTCTTGCAGTTATTGTTTTAGTGTTTGAGCTGACAAACGTCAAGTCCCTCTACAATACAAAGTAAAGTAATTCTCTTTGCTCTCTGATGTTGTTGTAATTTTGTAAATTAGCTTACTTTTGTTTTTTTTGTTTATAAAAGCACGTACATTAAAGGTCTCCCAACGTTTTCTTGTGTTATTCAGACAATGGCTGGAAGAGGCTTTGGAGCAAAACTCAACGACATTTCCTGAAATTTTCCTGGTTGGTTCAAAAAAAGATCTGTGTGTAAGTATCTTTCTTTCCTTTTTCTTTAATATGCTTATTTAGACATTCATATAAAGGATAAAGATGAGGATCCAAAGCCTTCTTAAAGATAATGACTAGAGCCATTTGCTTTGCTACTGACTCAGAATCCTGGTTCTTTTTTCAACTGTAGAAAGCCAGTGATGTTTCTCAGATGGAGATGAAGGCTTTAAAAGTGGCGGAAGAGTTAAATGCTGAATACTGGAGTGTTTCTGCTAAATCAGGTGCTTATATCTGTTATTATTATACCAATAAAGCATGCTCATAGAGGACTGTTTAACGCAAGGGCGGAGGGTGGGAGGTTAACATATACTCTTCAGCAGTGGCATCGATATCCTCTCGTTCCTAGTATTATGAATTCGTTTAGACTTAAGGTATGTTGAATGTTGTTAATATTAGCCTCAGTTAAGATAAGAGAAACAGAACTGACGAGGCCATTTTCGAGTTCCAAAAACGCTCTTTTCAAAATGAGGCTAAGTCATGGTTTTATTCCCCGATAAACGTTTGAGCATATATTTCATATATTTTTATACATTTTATGCTGCTTTTTCTTCTTTCTCTTGGACGCGAAGATCAGTTTACTTTTCTTTCTTCTATTTTTCTTATTCCGAAAATCACGAGGACATGACCGGCGTTGTCATGGCAAATGATTCCTTTTCGGATCTTCTGTTTTTTGGTAATGAAGCACGGTATCAGCAGTATCCATATGATCTGAGATCACAAATCTCTCTTTGTATTCTCCCCCAAAACGCACCCTATGATTGTCGCTATTTTCACATTGCAAGATTTTCTGGCGATATTTACAGGACCAAGGTTGACAACACAACTGTGTCGTATATTTTTACGTCTGCTACTGGAGACCGGGCCGCCATTTTACGTGATCGTCTTAGCCAAGCGAATTTCGAACCGTTTGCAGAGCAAAGGCAGTATCTTCATTCCTCAGTTATTTTAAGACTCTGAGTATTGGTACGAACCCGGAAGTCGAACCGTTGACCTCCCCCTCTGCAGTGAAGCGCTCTACCAACTGAGCTAATCCTACCGCGGTAGATGGATGTAGACTGTTTACGTGCAAATATATGTTTTAGAAAACCAGTTAAAAAGCGACGTTTCCATACCACTAACGGAAAATAAGAACACGACCAAAATAATTTTCCGATACTTGTTTTCCTCAAGAAGTATCCGATTTTTTTTTCGCAAATTCGGCTCAAGGCATTACCTGCACCCACCCTTTGAAACCGTTATCACGAAGCAGGAATGCGTGATTAAAGACGGTGACGGTATTTACCTCTTTAAGGCCCAATATCCACATGCAAATTCTCCAGGCCGACCTCCTTACACTTCCTTAAAGAATAAGTTGAGAGAATTTAATAAACGACGAAAGCATTTTCCCTTGGGTGATCATTCTGTCAATTCTGACAGCGTTTGCTCTTGATGATATTTGTATTTTTGTATTTTATTTTTACTCCATCCTATAATACATTAGTTGTACAATAATACAATAGTTGTACAATATCAATAATACATTAGCTGTACAATATAAATTGGTACAAAGTTGCTTAAACTACGTGTACATAATAATAATAATAATAATAATAATAATAATAATAATAATAATAATAATAATAATAAAAGAAGAAAATTAGAATGGAGAAGGGCACATTATAGTAAAACTAATCATGGCCCTTTAACAAGATTGACTTTATTCTTTTGTAGTTTTGTTATTCATGATATGATGATATGTGGATATTGTATGGAGAAAATTGACGTTGGTCATGGACTTAAAGGGTTGTAATATGCTCGTAGGTGAAAATGTGAAGGAGTTTTTTCGTCGTGTGGCAGCAATAACATTTGAGCAGGCGATTCTGCGAGAGCTTGAGTCCCAGGATGCGAGAACAGGCAAACTGCAAATCGGGTCAGGAGGTGTTCTAAGTAAGTAGTATAAGTATCTATCTAACTGTGAGCAGTATGGCCTTTTCATTTACATATTTCTTTGCCTTGGGAGAACAGGAACAAAGTCAGTGCAGCGCAATATACTTGCTACACAATTATACAGTGGGAGGCAAGGTGGCACTATGATAAGTGCGCTGGTCTCGGGATCGAGAGGTCTGGGTCGAGCTGCGCATTACATTATACCCTCTAAGTGTCCGACTCCAGCCAGATGATGTATGAATGTATAATTGGGTGCTGGCAAATTTGGTGCTACGATCTGTGAGCATCCCGTCCAGGGGGGAGTAGAACTATTCCTATTCCCTTAATGCCGTGGAAAGCGGGTTAGCTTAAGTTCTGGCCGTGATGGACTACTTGGCCTGAAACCAGACCTTTTTTACCTTACAACAAATTAACATTGCCTTGCTTTCGGCCTTAGAGTTCGTAAGTGAAAGCAAGCTGTGTGCAAGCAGTCTGTTTGCGAGAATTGTTTTGTGGTTACTGTGTAAGTTACGCCTTATGCCCTTTTAAAACCTCTCACTATTATAAGTGCAGCAAATATATTTGACGAAGGGACGGGGCTATTTCATTGTAGGAGTTGAGAAGAAAAAGAAAGAAGAAGAAAAGCCGCAAAAATCAAAATGCTGTTCTGGGGGTCGTGGACTTTAGCCTCGAAAGGCATGCGCAACTGATATCAACACAGCTGGTCTGTGATATTGAGGGCGCATGCGCGTGTTAACCCAGAAGTGATTGGTGATCATGAACGATACACAATTCTGCGATGAAAACTAAAAACTACAAAGAAGAAATTTACAACAGCGCTACCAGCTATGATCTCAGCATCTAATTGCTATAATTATCGCTTCTACGTTCTTGCAAATGCGCAGTGATGTTGTAACTGCGCTCGGAATGTGCGTATGACAGCTCATTTGCCACTGATGCTTTACAAACGAATACACAGACTCGCAATAAATGGAGATACTCAACTACACAGATCTCCCAGTCGTTTGTAATCAAAATGTAAAATAAATATAATAAAACAATTCGTATGAGAGAAACAAATGAAAGACGGTACAAATTGTGTCATTGCCGGTGTAAATAAAATACAAAATGTTGCTTACTTGGATATCCCCCTTTTACTTATAATGACACAGACCTTTTCAGATTGAGGGCGTGTGCCTGGGTCCGGGTTGTGTGACTCCGATCAGATTGCACTATGGCGCCGGGGTCCAAGTTGTGTTGGATTGCACTATGGAACCACATGTATTTGTTTAAATGTTTTTGGGACACTTTTACTTCTTTTATTGGCTATTACGAGGTTGCACAGGAGACTGGGGCAAAAGTCGTCACCTCAAAACAATCCCACGATGCATTTAAAGCAACCTCAAAATGGCCGACAGTAATCCCACTGCTTGCCTCCTGCTCTCTCACAGTTATCAATCTGAGCGACAATGCAAAGCCCATATTTGTTTTCGTTTGTAAACATAACTCGCAGGAATTGATGATCGGTGTAAATTATTTGAAACATGTTTTACAGTTTTACCTAACCACTTAACATATGAATTAGCCTTGAAAACCAAGAAAACTATGAAGCGATATGTCTTATTCAAATGGACCTAGTTGCAATATACTTAACACCATACAAGCTGGGTACAATCCGGTCATGTTACTTAAGTGATAGTCTCTCTGATAGCCAACGACCTTGTGTTCTGCTATTGACTTGCGCTTCTCTTACATTTGAACGTCAATTGCTGTATTATATAAGTTATATAAGTGCGGTTGGATGGAGCGATAAATCGATGTCTTTTGATTATCCTCGATAATTTCCATCTAGACATATTTTATTTGTGTGCTATTCTACTTGTCTGAAACCAGCTCGATAAATAGAATGCACAACCATGGAATCAGATTCAGATACCAATCTGAAAGACCCACTTTTAATAGGGTAGCACAGTAGTGAGAGCACTCGCCTCCCACCAGTGTGGCCCGGGTTCGAACCCTGGCGTCGAGGCTATATGTGGGTTGATTTTGTTGTTGGTACTCTCCCTTGCTCCAAGAGGTTTTTCTCCGGGTACTCCGGTTCTCCCCTCTCCTTAAAAAAACAACACTTCCAAATTCCTATTCGATCTGGAACGCACGAACACGTTTCAACGAGTTCTAAAATGTTCCGTGGGGAAACAAATTACAGTTTTTTTTACATTCCAAATAAACGATGTGATTCAATTAGAACAGAATATCAAATTAAGATTGGTCGAGCGAATGTTCACGAACCAAAAAGTATGTCCTGCAAGCGAGGTGCTCTCATGAAAATTGCCACAAACGTCACGATACCCGTAATTATAGAGACCCACAGCAACGCTCGATCCAGGACTCGCGCGGCCATGACCCACTCCCACTGTCTAAAGGTCAACTCGTCCTCCTCGAGTTCCTCGCCATTCTCATCCAAGACTCCCGTGAATGGTACTTCCATCTCGTCCCATACCTCCTCATATTCAGCATTGCTAAGGACTAAATTGCCAGGACCATGGCCATTTAATTCACTGGACGCGATGGAGTTTGCATAACGCATGCCACCGCAGTCAAGGTTTTTTGATACTATAAAGACGTTGTTCAACTCTTCAACTAGCCGGTCGTCCCTTTTTTCTTCAGAGCTAGCTCCATCGAAAATCATCTGTGCAACAGATCCATTTTGTCTGGCACCTGGGGCGTTTCTTCTCATATGCTGCCTCACGCTGTTGCCTCGCATCGATTTTCTGCGTCTGTTGGGTTTAGGACAGCTTCGTTCCACGGTATTTCTCAGGAAAATAACACGCGCCAACCACTTTAGAAGTAGTTTACGCAACCAACTTGGCATCTTCTTGTTTTTGCTGGCCGTGAAGTTCAAAACAATCGTTGTTGCCACCAACGAAAAGCTTATTTCAACGCTTGTAGCAAAATAGTACTGACCGAGGAGTGGGAAATCAAACGAGGGGAAAATGTTTGCTGTTAATTGCTGGAAGACAGTCATGGCAAGAAGTACGGTTATGCTCAAACCAATTCTTTCCCCGCACTCTGGTGGAAGAATAAATCCCAGAAATATCATGGTTGAAATGAGAAAGCATGGGACAATCAGGTTCACAAAATAAGTAAAGTACACACGGGCTATCACCAAGGTGAGAGTGATGTCATCATATGGCCCATTTTTGTACTGAAAGACATTTTTTTTGGATGCGACTCTGATTAGTTGCCATTCACCGTTGTTCACGTACTCTTTTGATATAGTCGATATATTCATTGGTCTTGTCGACAATTTTATTTCCTGACTGCCTGAAGACCAAGAACCAAATTTGAGCTCACAGGTCTGCATGTCGAATGGAAAGTAAGTGATATCTATGGCGCAGGCGGTTTGAAAGAGGGCTGGGCAAAACCAGTAGCTGTCTCCATTTGATCGCGTGATAACATTGGTTTTATATGAAGTCGGTCCGCCCCCAATGCGGTCTAGGAAGTCAATGCTAGTAAGATTGAAAGCAGAAATAATCGTGTAACCATGTTATTGTTAGACTTGTTGGTAAAAGTAAGTACAGTGCAGGAAAGCTCGTAGAAGCGTCCATCCGCTAGGATTAAAAATATACTATACAAACAAATGCTACTTATCACTAACCTTCAGGCCTGTCAGCCCAGGCAGATGGTAGGGATGGCACAAAGAGTGGTGAGCAAGAAAAAAAAGAGAGGTGTGGGGTATAGGGTTGAGATTTAAGGTTCCCGGCTCCTCTCTCCCTCTCCCTCTCCCTCTGTCTCTGCCTCTCCCTCTCTCTCCACCTCTCCCTCTCCCCCTCCCTCTTCCTCTTCCTCTTGCTCTCCCTCTCCTTCCCCTTCTCCCTCCCCCTCTCCCTCTCCCTCTCCCTCTCTCTCTCCCTCTCCCTCTCCCTCTCCCTCCCCCTCTCCCTCTCTTCCTAATTATTTTTTTCCCAAACTCTGACTTCGAACCTCACTCCACTATCTGAACGCCTGGAACGGGCTAACGGTTAGAGTGAACCGAAAGCTGCAGTTCCTGTAACTTAAAAGCACAAATAGCTGCCATTTTACAACCATCCTGTCTCCCGCCTGTTCTTCTCTTACACAGAGCACCCTGACGACTGTTTTCTCTTTCATTGTGTGTTTTCAGGACCATTTTGGGTCCTCGCCGGAGACGGGATCGTCTCTTGTGCGTATTCTGAGCCTTGTTGTTATTTAAGGCAAAGGCAATGTCTTTTTCATCAGTTATTTTAAGAAGAGTATTGTTCAAGTCCTGGAAATCAAAACCACGACCTCCCTTTTGTGAGCAAGTGTTTTGTCAAATAAGGTGGCCCAGCTGTGGTTTTCACTCAGTATCAAATACCGTTGCGTCGGAGGGTTTATCCCGGGTATCTGGCCTTAAGCCTTAGGGGTAAGAAGAAAGGAGATTTCAGAGAGGAGTGGGGGGGAGTGAGAGAGGAAGTTTCTCTCATTTTTTCCCTTCCCTCTACCCCCTTACGGGGGGTTTGTAAAGGAGGTGGAATAAAGAATAAAGTAAAGGAGGCAGAATAAAGGTATGTTGGCTTGTCCTGTGTGCGTGCGGATGTCATTGCTATTTTCTTACTTGTAGTACATGAGTATGTCCGGTACCCAGACCTTGTCGGCACTCGTTTGAATGGACTTAATACCACCATACTCAGATGCGTTCCACTGGAGTAAGGGATTGCGCCATTTCTTGGGGAGAGAAAGATACATGAACTCACACATTTGACCGTTATTACTAATTATTCCCCTCTTAAAACCGCACAAATTATAGCCTATAAAGGATCCGTATGTTTTGTTTGTAGCTACTTCTTTACGGTAATCAAACAATTTCCTTTTTCAGCGTTACATACTTGGGTTTGAATTATATCGCATTCTTCAAAAGGCAAAAGTCTGTAATCTTAGTTTTAAATTGAAATGCTAAATGTTACCTGTTCGGCCCAACCATAAACTGTAATTGTCTGATCCTTGGCATTCTGTGGCAAGAAGAAAAAGAAAAAAGCAGATAAGTAGCATCAACTCTAAGAGGAGACGAAAATCAAGATTTGTTTCAATTCCTTACTGAAAATACTAAGAAGTAGAGTTAAAAGTCAGCTGGAAGGTACCTCTAAAATGTTATACCTTAAACTGCCGCTTATAAGCCCTGGGCTTGTACATCTTCGTAAGGGTTTGAGGAGGGCTTATAAACAGAGGGACGTATCCGAGAGGGCTCATAACGGGAAGAGAAAAAGCGCTTCAAAACAATCTATAGCGGTGCTGATCAAAATACATTTTGTAATAACTGGTTTTTAATTAGGGTTGAAAACCTCATAATAAATCGAATTCAGAGAGGGGCTTGTATCCTGCCATGCTTATAATCGGATGTATTTTTTTACAGGTAGATTGGCCTATAATTGGGGGTTTATTAGTAGATGGGGTTTAAAGCGGCAGTTTGCGGTATGGTAACAGAAAGATGAAAGTGCTAATGGTCTGTGGTACCCCTTGTGCTAAGGGCCTTAGTAAATTTAAGGCAGCTTTCACACTTGGTACCCGGGCACGGTGCCCGAGTACGGTACTCGGTGGGCATTAACGTGAACACACCCTTTTTCAAGTACCCACGAAAGAATTCGGGCATGCCGATGGTGCCGGTGCTCGAGTACAAGGTCTCGACCTTGTACTAGGGCACCAAAGTGGGCACTGGGTCCTTTTGTTCACACAATTTTTGTAAGTTCCGGGCAGTCCACTGCTTTGTTCTCGCTGCTAAGCTCATGTTTCAAAATGGCGTCTGACAGGGCGAAATGGAGTAACTATGTACACAGTCACATGTCGGGTACTCAAAGTGTAAACACAACACCATTTTGTGCCGTACCCAGGTACTAGTTCCCGAGCACCAAGTGTGGACAGTCCCTTTTAAAGCTCACCACTTCCTTGATGGTGATGATCTCAAACTCAAAATGCACCTGGACAGGTTCTGATTCATTAAGACGCGGTAGAAATTCCTTCTGGTAGCCATCGAATAATTTCGTAAAAAGTGCTTGCGTCACGTTTCGCTTTGTCTCCTCTGCAAAATAGGTAGCCACTGGTTGTATACAACTGAATGTATCCCTTTCACCCTCTAACAATTACCATCGTTTCGCTACAAAGTCGTTTCGCTACATCGTAAAGTCGATTCGATGCAACCAACTTTTTGTATTAAACAGTTTTAAACAACAAACGGCTAATAACGAGAAGTTAGCGGAAACGACTCTACAACTTAGCAGCGAATCGACTTCATTGCGCAGCGAAACGACTTGTAGCGAAACGACCACACTTCAATCATTTTACTTTTTGGCACCGGCCAAATTAACTACCCGACAAGTTGATAGTTCTACATCTTGAGAAATCTATGGAAAGCTTCACTTTCTTAAATGTCACTGTTGAAATGGGAAAGAACACTTCGAAATTCTGTGGCCTTCAAAAGAATGATATTTTTACAAGATGTCATTTTATTTAATGAATATTTTGTAAGCTTTGCATTTTTGCAAGTTAATAGAAAATGTCCATATAGTTTATTTAAACAATAACAGAAATTGGAAATTGACTGCCCTATCCTTTTCAGTTCTTGAATTAAAAAGAGTGGGAAATTGTCATTTTAAAAAAGAAATGAATAGAGCACATTTCAGAAGGAGTTTTTCCTTTGACAACATTTGATCTTCACTTCTGATTACAAAACTTTTTTGTTATTGATTTCTCATTTATGCTTTGTCATGCTTATTCGGAATTTTTTTATGTAGTACCTTTGTCGAATTAAAATTAATTAGCGACTCAGTGGTGATAATATTCTACGTATATTATATACATTGGTAGGTAGTCTGGTGGTCTTTATAAGCAGAAATTTCATATATGTCGTGGGTTTCTCTTTTAATTGTTTGGATCTTTAGTCTCGCGGCACGAAGCCTTCTGGAAAAAGTGAATTCGTAAAAAGAGAATAGAATTCAATAGCCTGTCCCCCGTCGATTCAGCAGTCGCCAACCGAATTGAACCGCAGCTCCGCAGCTGAAGGACTTAGTTAGGGTTTCATGTGTACTCAAACATGAACATTAGTCCATTTCGTTGCAAGGCAGTTACATGGTGACTTCTTTATCTTCTTCCTCTTTTTGTAATTCAACCCATCTCGGTTTATCTGCCGGACAACAGGGGCACCCAACGAGAAGATAGTTCAAAACCACTTAAACATGGCATTGTTAAACGTATTTTAGTATTTAAACGGTAGATATAGGCATACCATTATCCCCTAAAAATTTTTCATGAATTCGGATTTCCTAGCTGAAAGTCTAGTGATCCGAAAATTATAGCGAACAAAACTTACCTTTTCGAAAATTTCAGCCAGAAAAAAGTCTCCCGAAAATTCTAGGTGACCTTTTTAGGGTAGAAATCCGTTAAAAAATGGGAAATTATACCATTTTTAGATGTTCGAAAATCCTAGGAGAGGCAGGCAAGCAAGAAATTTTACAACACAAATTCCGAAAATTCTAGATCTCAAATCGTCTTCCGAACAGATATTTTCCGAAAATTGACGTTGGGTGCCCCTGGGACAATACCAAGTGTATTTTTATCGCGTTTTCATGATAAGTGGTACGAGATTGCGATGGTATAATGTAAAGTAAATAGAGATTTCATTTATCCGATGGGAGACGCAAGGAAACAAATTAAGAAAAAAGATAATTAAGAGAGTCGAATTGACTGAAATTAAAGGATGTCAAGTCTTTACCAAAATGTGAATTTCACGAGTTACTTACATACATGCCTTGAATTTCATCAATACGTTACCTAGGTAAAAGGAAGCTGCTTCGCATTTGGGTTGATATCAGGGGTGAAGGCATAGTTTTTGACTCGGAAAGAGAAGTTGCTTTTGTTTGAATCATGGGGAGGTATAAGGAGCCGAAGGTCCCAGGAAAACTGAATGCTACTGGGATATACAAGCTGTGGGATTTTAACGGAAGAGAACGACGGCAAGTAAGCTATCGTTTTGTAATCATTTTGTTTAGTTTCCTTCGTGCATGTCAAGTATGTGCGGCTGGCTACATTAAAGGCGTAAGAATCATACTTATCAATAAATAAGTTAACTTACTTTGACAAACACAGATTGTGTCCCACTGAATGATAGAAACAAGAATCAGCAAAAACGCCATAAATTCCATCGAGGGATTTCTGTCCTTGCTCCGATGAGAGGTAACTGTTATAAATTGATACAAGCTAGCTGAAATATCTGGCGCCTTTCGGTCGTGTAAATTATTTCTTTTGAAAATTGTTTAAATTTTAATGAATTAGCTTGAATCCTCTCCGCTCGGATAGTATAACGAGAGCTAATTGCCCCCGGGCGTAATATAGACAACGCGCTGGAAAGATAAAGAAAAAAAAAATTGACACTTGTTTTTCATTTTCAATCATGTCATTCAGATTTCTGAGGGACACCTGCGAATAAATCGCAGAGATTGGGAGCAGTTTTATTGAAATAAATTTTATTCAAATAATTCGAAATAAATGAACGAGACCTTGTCCTGTTAATCATCAACCATGAAAAAGCCGTCTCTTTGCCAAATTACAGAAAAGGTAATCAACCTTCAACAAAAGGTCGAGAGATTAAGAAAACTCATGGCACAATCTCGAACAGACAAGCTGAACAGAATTTAAATCAAATTATCAATAGCTTAAGAGAAGCGGATTCGTTTTGTCTCAAATCGCGAAAATCGATCGATCTTCCTTGACCGAAAAACTAGAATTGCCTCTAAACTTTCGAAGAAATGACCGCTGTTCAATAAAAATCCCGAAAAGGTCATAATTTTACGTCATTTAGGGTACAGTTAATGAGACGGAATAGGTAACAATGGCAATTTCTTGCACATTATCATTTATGTTGATACTTTACTAAGCTTCTAGGACACAACAGGAGATATTATATAGAGGATATTACACGGTGGCGAGAAGATATGAATTTTATGTTCGAGTGGAAACAACAATATCTCACGAGTGAGCGAAGCGAACGAGTGAGATATTGTTTTTGCCACGAGAACATAAAATTCATATCTTCGAGCCAACGTGTAATGTTCTTTTTATTATATGGAGAAACCAATTCAACAAAAGCAAGACGTCATTGAACGATACGACACTCACAAAGGTGACATACGGAAAATACGCCACTCGGGTCCCGGATGAAGTGGCGTATGGAATCTACGAGTGGTTTAGTTCCTAGTAAAACACTCTCCTCCATATAATAAATGACAATCGTCCAAACACAATAAACGAATGGCTACTTTCTTAATAGCTTGCGTCGCGGCAGGGGTTTTGCAAGGAAGGAAAACTAAAGCATTAAGCTTGGGCAGAAGCATATAACCCCGATCGGGGCTATATGCTTCTGGCTTGGGGGGATACTCCCTTATATGACCATATAAGGATGTGCCGCTGGACAGGGTATGGTTTTTGACCTCTGTGTCCTAAACAGTGTTTTTACTGAATTTCCTGTAAGTCTGCCCTAAACAGGGTATATACGTATGTTGTTCGAGTCTGTCCGAATTATAAACAGGGTATTGTCTGCGCGATTGATTTGATTTGCTAGACGAAATTTGTTTGCACTCCAAGTATACAAAAGCAATGACTATGACGTGAATTTGCTCTTACTATTGCAATTGCTATTAAATGGTTTTTGAAAAAACAAGACGGCGTGCATTTTGTCCTTTGTCCTAAACAGGGTAAAAAAAAAAGGGTGTCGTCCTAAACACGGTATGTATTTAGGATTTTTTTTGTCCTAAACAGGTTCAGGGTTTAAAACCCTCAGCGACTCATCTGTAGCCAAAGATTGGTCGAGTACCGCTCGGGGGATTTAAGGTGCTTGAGACGGTTTCTTCCTGGCGTGCTCACCGCGAGGTCGAGCACGTTTTAAACGTCTGGCATGCAGCCTACAAATATCGCCTCTGATCAAATGCATGATACTTTGTGCTTTATACCATTATTATTCGTTCAAAATATTTCAACGTTTCTGATTAGCTTAAATTCCCTGGCTGATTCTTAACAACTAGTATAGATTGTAAAACAGTCCGTATTTTTGCGCATTCAAGTACAAGTGCGCGCGAACAGTCAAACAAAAGGTCTGGAGCGAGGCTGAAAACAGAGAGCGAGTCTGAGGAAAGACGCTATTCTTACGCTACGTACGCTAAACTGATTTTGAGGAAAAAAACCCGACTGTTTTGTAGTCTAAACCAGTTAGCGTTGCCGTTATTAATATTTTTGACATCAATCGTCTTGATATCGACAGAAAAAGGGATGCTGAAGTCAAGCAAAGAAGCGGTGGTTCAGCTCTTTGAAAGTGCGGAGCTAGAGAAAAGCGTGAAAGATTTCACGCGTTCTGCAAGGACGACATAGCCGAACTACTGGCCTTGGAGTAGTTACAAGTAGAAACAAAAAATAAAACTCGACGGATGACAACTGCTAGGGAAGAATATCTGCTAAAATCAACATCCTTTCGGCCTTCATATCCTGAAATTACCACAGAACAAGCAGTTATTTTAAAACGGGAACTTCAAATAGAGTACGTTGCAAGCGTTTTCTGGATCAGAATAATAAAACAATTATTGGATTCGGCTTTCGTATGATATGAAGAATTATGCATACCATTAGGGAAGTGTTATAGGCTAAGCTGTCAGATCCGCGCAATTCTGCACATCATACGAAGGACTTATCAAAAGATTGTTATTTATCATTATTGTTATTTATATTATTATGATATTATAATCATCGGCCTCGAACTCGTCTTCAGGGCCTCCAGCGTCTCTCTCCGTTTAATATATGTTGTTTCACGTCTAAGTACGAATGTGATACTAAGTACGAGTCCTTATCTTCCTCGGAGAGGGGCGAAAAACTGCAGGCCCCGTCTCACAGCTCTTTCACCTTTCTTATTCTTATGGGGCGTAAAACAACCCATGACCACGCCCACGCTGTTGTTCGTCGAAAGAAGGGACCGTGGACCCTGGTGGGGTGGTGTGCGTCTATGTGAGTGTATTGCTGTAGAAGTCAGTATTTCTTTGAAATAACTGTTCGAAGGATCAAACATTGCCTGGAAAAATTTCTAAAGCTCGAGAAATACTAAAAATGTATTGATAACCGTTCCACTCGTCTATGATGTTAGCAATTTTTTTACTAACTTACCTTCTATAGATTTTCGGGGTTGTGTTTTTCACATTTTATGACAAAGATATTACGATTATTGCATAAAAGAGGTCTCTTGAAAATTTCGGTATAAAAATTACGTCCTTCTAATGAAAGTACCGCTACCCCATGTCCTCAAACTTTCGGGTAGGTAACAGTTTCGGATGAGACGAAAAACCAGCTAAAACTTTCGAGAAGAAAAATCTTCCCGGCCCTAACACATCCGAACAGATAACAATAGTTTTTAGGGCAGCTCCAAATTAACCAATCAGGCTTCTAAATCATATATGGAGAAAACGATTTGAGACACTCCTGACGTATTTGGAAACAGTCGGTCGTTGGGCATCCTTTAGAAGTTTTCAGCTTTTAAGCTCTTTTGGATAGATATAACCTTCTTTATCAAATAAAATGGTTATGATGATGATCACTACGTCCCCAAAACTATCAATCGATTCTTTTGCTGACGAGCAAGTAACGAGAGTTCAAGAATACCATATGTGGGACTAGTATCGCTGTGGCCTTTGCTATAAACAACAAGAACAATTTCGTAATACATTTTAATCATCAGTTAGGAATAATTACGAATTAGTTTATAAACGGAACCACGACTACTGTGAAGTAAAAGGCTACTTCGACAAAATTAAATTCCAAGTTGCAATGACAAATCGACAATATTACGATTCTTGCTCCTGCTTTAGTTCCATAAGAAACGAAAATGAATGTCAACAAACGCTAGGAAGAGTATTGAAACAGGTATCGAAATAATAAGAAAGATAAAATATAAGGCGCAGCCTAGTTTTACAAGCAACGTATTACGGTTATCGAACTCAATATATACGGCATCCTATTTCTACTTCTTTGATTTTTCCTTTACTGTTTAAGTACGGTCTGGAAGAGGGGCGGGGATCCTGATCCTGCATTCATGCTTCTTTTTCACGACAGTCCCGCATTCCGAGCGTCTGTCATCTCAATCCCGAATACCGAATCCGCATCCCGTGCCACAATTTTGGCGAATCTTCATTCTCGAGTGGCGGTCAAAGCCCGTATTCCGTCAAGAACTCTTCCAGACCCTGTTTAAGCGATTTGGATTTTCTAGTCTTAGCGCCAAAGCTTGAAAGAAACTTTTGCAAAGTATTGGCTGGCCGGCAAGAGTACACCATCACCTATTCATCAACCATAAGTTTAGCGTTGTTCTTCGTTAATTCAGGCGATGCGTCCCATAGTTTTGGCGCCCGTAAAAATATCGCTGAGACTGTTACGATGCCGCAAATGACCGCAACAACCAGGAAGAATCGATCCAGAATCCTAGCGACGAGTGTCCATTCCCAGTGCCTAATGGCCAACTCATCTTCGCTCAAATGTTCCCCATCTTCCCTATATGAACGAGTCTCTTCTTTCGTAGTATTGTCTACCCCCTCATGGTTATTAATCATGAACTGGAACGTATTTATTCCGTAATTGTTCTGGCAGCCAAGATTCTCCATCTCTGTGCCAATGGTCTCAGANAAGCTTGAAAGAAACTTTTGCAAAGTATTGGCTGGCCGGCAAGAGTACACCATCACCTATTCATCAACCATAAGTTTAGCGTTGTTCTTCGTTAATTCAGGCGATGCGTCCCATAGTTTTGGCGCCCGTAAAAATATCGCTGAGACTGTTACGATGCCGCAAATGACCGCAACAACCAGGAAGAATCGATCCAGAATCCTAGCGACGAGTGTCCATTCCCAGTGCCTAATGGCCAACTCATCTTCGCTCAAATGTTCCCCATCTTCCCTATATGAACGAGTCTCTTCTTTCGTAGTATTGTCTACCCCCTCATGGTTATTAATCATGAACTGGAACGCATTTATTCCGTAATTGTTCTGGCAGCCAAGATTCTCCATCTCTGTGCCAATGGTCTCAGACGATGGAGTGCCGCAGTACATTGTGTCACTAAAAGTCACATTAAACCCTTGGCTGTGCTGGTCTTTTCCGTCTTCCGTCAACTTTGCGATGGCGTTGTCGTTTGCTAATCTTGTAATTTTCCGACGGCTTCGCCTGGAAGACTTTCGACGCTTTATTTTTCGAGTCTCGGGGGTATCCGTTAAGAAAACGATAACCGCCATCCAGTTGATCACCAGCTTCTTCATCCATCGAGGCATCTTTCGATTGGTGCGATGATAGAAGTTTAAAATCATCGTTGTGACGACAACCGATGCTCCAATCTCTAAGATGATGGCAAAATAATACTGCCCAAGGATGGGAAAGTCGTAAGGCGGCATGATTTCGGACGTCAGCTGTTGAAACACGGTCATCGCCAACAACACGGTGATGCTAAGACCAATACGCTCTCCCGACTCTGGAGGAAGAACAAACCCGAGAAAAATCATGGAGGAAATCAAACAGCACGGAAGAATGAATTTGATAAAGTAATCCATGCTCTGTCGTGCCATTTTAATGGTAACTGTGACGTCTACGTATGGTTCTGTGCAGCATTGATAAATCTCCTCCTTTCGCTTTATTTTAACCATGATAACTTTCCATTCGCCATTTTCTTGGAAATCTTTGCTTGGAAATTTGTAATGCTTTATTGGCGTGATGTTCAACGTGTGGGCATCATAATTCCATGAGCCAAATTTCAGTTGGCATTCTTGAGTATCAAAGGGGAAGTATTTCACATTTATTTTGCACACACTTGTAAAAATCATTGGGTTGCCCCAACTTGTGGTTCCGTTAGAATTCAAAGTCACCCCTGAACGAAAAGTGCTTCGGCCACCTACGAAATGATCTTCATCGTCATTGCTGTGGAAGAAGGATAATGGCGATCATTATTATTAATATTATTATTATCATTATTATTATTATTATTATTATTATCGTTATCGTGTTCTTATTGTTATTATTAATAGTATTCTTTAGTGCAAACGACCACAAAAAATCATCCATAAGTGATTGTTTTTCTCTGATAAAAATAATAAGGTAATGATTGAAATTTCCGATATCGTATGTTGAAGCATTCGCTAAAGTTCAACTAAAGTATGTTGAGTGGGACCGAGTTACGAATGTTGCTTCATTCGTTCGTCGAAATTTTTCGAGTTGCATTTTCGCCTTCCAATGCCACTGCACTAACGGTCATCTGATTCTGAATGAACATTAAAAAAGTTAACAACCACCGCACTCCAGGATTTCAGCCCTCCAGTGTCTTAAATCCTTTCAGAGTAGGTGATCACCCTGAGTCTTGTAGGTACATAGGGTGGTTCTAAGTTTTGAGTCTGTGGACGAAATTACATGCTGTAACTATTCAAATGAAACTTAATCAGCAGTACTTTCACTTTTTGCTATATAAAATGTGAAATTGGGTGATTTTGTTGAGTTTAGGGATTAAGCACATAACTACCGGACTCCGTAAAAATAGAGTGCTCTTGTTCTTTTGAAAGGCGGCTTGTACTTTAATATCTGTGCACTAATACTTAGATAAAGGGAAAACCGTGAACAACTTACTTGTTATAAAGAAGAATATCCGGAACCCAGACCTTCTTTGCTTCCAAGTGGATTTTTTCTATTCCACCAAATTCGGATTCGTTCCAACACAGCAAAGGATTTTCCCAACGCTAAGGGGTAAACATAAATAGCAACAGCCGAAATTTTTCTTGTGATCTCATGATGTGATTTACTTTGTTAGCACATTATACTAACTCTTTATAAATGCCACGCCTATATAACACTATGATCAGTGTTTCCAGTCATTCTTATTGTACGTGATTAAGGGATATATGGGACAAGGTTGAAGAAACGGTTGACATTACCCAACCGCTCCTCGTTTTTTCCTGAGGTAACGAGGTGGTATCCCGAAATGTCGGCTACGGTTTTCACAGGGTAACGATTACTGAGATAACTGATATACTTTACCTATAGCTGGGTGCAAACGGACCCACCAACTCCCAACATTGTTGGGGCAACAATGTTGGAAGTTGTTGCGTCCGTTTGCAGGAAGCAACTCCCAACATTGTTGGGGCAACAATGTTAGGAGTTGTTGCGTCCGTTTGCACGTAGCTAAAAGTTTGACCGGTTCCAAGCTCTGCGCAACAACTCCCAACAACACGCAACAACATGCTACAGGGTGTGCAAACGGACGCTACATGTAATATCCAACACGTTTGCACGGGCTTTAAGTTAATCTGTGATTTTAATATCACTGATCAAACTTACCTGAGTAACCCAAGCGATGACTATAATGGACTGTTCTTTTGCGTTCTGTTAAAGAAACCATTAAAAACGCTGATAATAAAAAGAACCATCGGTATTTTCTTTGCAGCTGGAGATTTGCCCCATGGAATGGAATGATCCGGGTTCCGGAATCCGGGATAATTTTGCTTATGAAATCCGGATTCCTAGGCTTTTGAATCCGCAATACAGCTCAAGGAATCCCGAATCCCACTAATGACTGGAATCTAAAATCCAATTTTCACTTACAATGACTGGAATCCAGTACCTGGAATCCGGAATTCATGGCGGGGAATCCAGAATCCAAGACTATCTTGGATTTCCTTACATGGGCCAAGAGATAATAACAGTTCTAATATAACTGACTAAGAGTTTCTAAATACACATGTTCTTGTAATCATGAATGACGTTTTTACTTGTTCGTTTCCTTTTTTCATCGAAATGCATCACTTAAGCACTCTAATATGATTACCAATAATGCAAAACTTCAACCGAATAATCAAACGTCTGTAAAAGAATCTGGAGGTAGATTAATGAATTTCTCCTGGGATAAAAGCCGCCTAGCAGCGTTCTCAGTTTAAAGTGGTTCATCTTGCCACTTTAACGTCAAAGCCACGCTGTTCGCCCCCAGAAACAACTGCGATTACACTTCCTGATTAGGGGCCGGTTTTACAAAATCATCCTAAATTTTAGCGGAGCTCTTTGCTTAGCTGTAGTTAGAAAAATGTGGCATCCATCTTTCGAGAACATTTGGTTGTCACGTGAGCGTACTTCGAACGGGCGTCAAATTCACCAAGTAAACCAATGTGAAACATCACCCTTACAGATGTTCCAAGCGGTCATTTGGAAATCCATACTATCGTTCCTTTAAAGACTGGTATCCGCTGACCTGTTTCATATGACAATATTGCAGGTGCACTTCTCATCGAGATCAAGATCAAGTATTTTAAATTTTCCTGCTGGCCAGGTCCCAGTTGTTCAAAAGGTGGATAGCGCTATCCACCGGATAAATCACTATCCACTGGATAGCGCAATTGGTTTCCCTAACACTTATCCACTGGATAGTGATTTATCCGGTGGACAGCGCTATCCAAGGTTTGAACAACCGTGGCCAGTTGATGATTTTTGCTTCGCGGATAAATTCTTTGTGTCAGAGCTATTAATTTTGATTACAATGGTCAAAATTTGATTGTTTTCAAGTAGATGGGTAGAAATTTAACAGGAGCTCCGCTTTGGGGCATGGCTAACTCTGAAATGATGTCTCCTAACAATGGAGGACATCTTACTTGAAAATAAATCTTGATAAAGGAGATCTTCGTGAGTGAGAACGCAGAATCACCCATTACCGAGGGCGGAAATGAACTAGTTGCTCTTTTAAAAATTGTTAAAAACCTCACCACTTCTACTATTTTGACGAGTTCGAATCCGAACCAAATGTTGATAACGTGAGACTTATTAAGTCTAGGTAGCAGGTCGACGCTGTAATAATCGCTGCTGTTGAAAAGTCTTTTGTGGAGTTTTCTTTCGTGGCTCACATAGTCATCGCGGCTTCCTATGAATGAAACAGGAGAGATCTTATGAATTATATGTGATTTGTAATAGTACAATAACTCCATTGGGTAGCTGAGATCAAAACGTGGATACCTGGTGACCTAGTGCTCGTCATCTGTCTCCTCCGTAGAGGCTTTTTGAGTCAATACATCACTTGCACATCTCCCATAATGCACCTTATTTGCCCCCCAAAATTTCACATAAGCATTGTTTTCAATTTCTCTTGGTACGGCTGTAATACCCAGGATAAAAAATAAAGGTTATGCAAAATTTGGTGGGGAGGGGGGCAAATAATTAACAATTATTGGACGAGGTTGAGCAAAATTATATATCGTGATTTGTCTGTGGCGAGCAGATCAATTATTTGCCGAAGCCGACAAATTACACTGACAAATTACGATATTTTGCCACAACCGAGTTCAATAATTGTTTTATCATTCGATCACCGAGTTTGTTTTTTTAATGAATATCCTTGGGAAGGGAAGTGATCTGCCATTTTCACGCAAGGACGATCGCAAGATGGAGTAAAGCACGGTTTCCTTTACGCATGAGCAGAATATTATTTGCAGTCAAACACTGTTGGACGGCATTGCGCATGAGAAGACCATTAGTTGTAGGCAGTTATTTGCATGTCACGTGGTGGGTCCTCGGCCAATGAAAAGAAAGAAAAATTTGCTTCGAATGATAAGGTACATTATGGGAGATGTGTATAAAAAAGGAGGTGGGAAGAGGCAAAATGAAAGCGTGTGAGGGACGATGGGATACTCTGGGAGCCTCCAGGAGAAGATAACTACGACATAAAAACGTTTTTTCATTCTATATCGTTTTTCATTCTATATTGGCATTTTGTACTCATAACATTTATTAGGATAACTAGGAATTAACGACTAAAAATGTTATCATATTGTAAATATCATTTAATTTTTTTTTACATGATCTCAGCTCCTATAAATTCATTCGTATGGATGGTACAGTCTTGCGGGAGTTCATTAGATTAAACCTCACTAAAGAATTTTAGTAAAATCCAACTAGTGGTCTATTATCAATGCTGCGTTCTGATTGGTTGAGCTACTACTAGGCTATATGTAATAGCCCACTAGTAGCGAAAAGCGCCGGCTTTGAAAGCCAAAACATTGGCGGCTGAATCCCGTTTTTGCTGTAGCTAAAGTTGTTTTGTCTCGGTATTTTTGACCAACTAGTTGGATTTACTAAAAGAATTATTCCTCTCGCCCTCATTAGCCCATTCGGCCTACTCAGAGCCCATTCGGGCTCAAGGAATGATTTTTTAATATACATGGAACTTTCTATAGTTATAGCTATTGCACAATAGTTCGAATTGCCAGTTTAACCTTCGGTCTGAACCAGACAAGTAGTCGCCATCCTTGGCCTTCCGGCTTTTGACATGCTAATCTAGGCTACATTTTCGTAACACTTCTCCAAGGAGTCAAGGCCATCATTCCAGCTGACTCTTTCCACAATTTTCTTTAATATCCATTGACGCTTCGCTCCAGACTTTTTAATATGACCGCGAAACTTTTAATGTAGCTCTGTTAATTCTGATGGTAATCCTTAACGTTTTGAATTATTTGAAAAAAAAATTGGCCTTGAGACTAAGAAATGCCTCTATCAGATATAGCCCAGTCAAGATCGTAAAAAAAACACTCTTCCACCACAATCAGTTAGTCTCTTCCGCTCGGGTCGGAAGCATGCGCATTGCTCCCTTCCCCCGCTCATGGGGAAGGGCAAGGAAACAAGCCATCAATCGGATACTGCAGAATTTGGAGAATTTCGCCTGCTCGCAAACTTCAAAAAAAAATAAATACAGTAAAAACCCACATATAAGAACCTAGAATTTTTTGAGGTCAGGCTGAACAGGTTCTTAAATTTTAGGGTTGTTTTTAAAAATTCAGGTTGATTAGGTTCTTACTATTTTTCAGAGGTTGTCGAAGTGTAACCATTGGCAGAAATATTGTACTACTAATACGTAAACATATACAGAATAACTTTATGTCAGAGGTTTCTCACACAATTAAAATCCAGAATTTTCACCATCGAAGGGAGTGATTTTTCTGTATAAGAACCTATTTTTCTTTGCCAGGCTGAACAGGCTCTTATATTTTTGGTATTTAAATGCCAAATTTCTGCTCTGTTGGTTCTTACTAGGTCCTTATATTCCGGTTTTTACTGTACAGATATTTAATTTTTATTAATTAATTATTCAAATCTTTACCTTTTTTGAAATTCAGTTTTCGGTAAATCTAGTCAAAACATATTCTAAATGTTATTAAAAGGCCGTGTTCAATCTACCATCTATCAGCTGTCAAAATAGTTCTTCACGTAGAAGTTACTGTGCTATTCGTCCAGTATAATAAACTTGATTTAACACTCATCCTTGTTCGAGATATTAAACATTAAAAATACTTTCATCATCATCTTACCTTCCGATGGTTGAAGTTGAAAAAGAAGGCAAAAAAGGGCTATAATCGTCTTCTTGGTTAACAGAAACATCGTTGCTGTTGTCCATTATATAAACGACGACATATCTATCGAACAATAGATACAATATATTAGACACATGATTGCTTTTAAAGGCAGGTACTGTGAAACTGTATCAACTCTTTCAAGTCCAAGAGCATTAAAACAGGCCTCCTGTACAAAGAACCTTGACAGCGAGAGCTGTTAACTAAATGATTTCCACCAAGGCAAACCAAGCTATACTCTGAAAAGTCAGCTTTTGTGAATCATATATGATCACTTCAAATAATCAGACGTTTCCATAAAGACCTACCGTCTAAGTAAGCAAACCGTCTGGTTACGAATTGTATCCGTCTTCCCTTAAAACATTTCAGTCGCTGGATTTTTCAGAGATGACCACCATTGCTGACTTTCACTGCGTTTGAGCCTGGTTTGGCTGTGCAGTGCCCTGCCTGGTGAGAAAATGAAAAGAACGGTATATCAAACTTCTTCCCAATTAAAATTAGCACCTTGAAAGACAACCTCGTCCCCAGGCCGCTCCCCAGGTTGCTTGAAAGATAAATTGTAAAAAAAATCAGATGGCAGAGGTTTCACGAGACTGCCAATGGAGTCATTTGCTTCAGTCTTGCGCTATAATTCTTTGTAAATTTGAACCAACAAGTACTTGGTCCACGGGTTCGACTTCAGTTAACTCCAACTCCCTCGTTTAAAACTGCATTGAATCCAAATTGTGCGAAGAAGCGGATCAGAGGTCTCACCACCTTTGTTTTCTTACAGAGTACACGGTTATGAGGATTACAGTCATTCGGGCAACAATTTTAACGTTAATTCTCTACTACCTTTCCATCGACATAAGAATATTGGTTGATTTAGATCGACTTCGCGTGTTCCCGTGCGCTAAACTTAATTTTTATGGAATTCTTAAAACTGTGTTATTGGGTCAATATTCCCGATGAAAATACTCCTAATTGACAGAGGCGCCGATTAGCCAGCTAAATGATAAATTTGATGACACGCCTCATGCTCTGACAGAATTTTATGGACCGTCACCCTCTCAATTCCTTACTTCTCTCAGAGACAGCAGTTCTAGCTTCTGACGCTATGAATGAATATTAAAGTATAACCCTTTAAAATTTATACTAGTATCATGCATTTTTAAAATAATGTATGATAATTCATGCATAATGATCTGTTGTTGTTGTTGTTTTTTAATTGAGAAGTTTCTTTGCAATGCGAATAGGAAAAAGTACTGTCAGCTTTTCCGGCAAGAGTTGGGTCGTAACTAAATTTTTGCCATTTTTCGTTCCAAATTTTTCTCCGCTGCTGATTGGCTAAGGTGTCTCGACTTATTCTTCATGACCAGCAAGCCCTCACCAAATTTGGAAGACGTTTGCGACGTTCAGTGAAATGTCGTCAATAGTAAAGGCTATCGCCTATAACAACGAACGGCAACCGAGAGGCCTAGGGGACCAGGTTGCGTTAGCTCAGTTGTTTAATGGTAGCGCTGGGAAGAATGGCGGAAAATGTCTCACGTTTGATTTTGCGATGAAGAAATAGCTGGAGTTCTGCCTAAAACACAGCAAGGACAGCAAAATACAACTCAACTTATTGCAAATACTATTTAAAGAGTATTTGCTAGACTGGACATCCTTTTAGATCCTGAATTTGCTGCGTAAGAGACAAATTAAGACCGCCTTCTCCAATAATGAATACTTTGATCAAATGTTATCCGTTTGACAATTTTGCTTGCTGTTTTCCTAAATTTTAAGGCAACGTTTCCAAATTAAATTATAGATCAATGTCAGCAGCAATGTTAATCAGCTGGCATAGTCTATGGCTCAGCATCAAAAACGTTACCAGTGACGCAAGCACTTTAGGGTGTTTTAAGGTTTGTCTGTACGACTTGCATTGAGTGATCTAAGAAGCATTTTTTTTATTTTTAAGATTCTCAGACATAGGGTTATGTCTCAAAATTTCTCTGTTTTTGAGCTACAACCGATGAATATTATTATAACATGTTAATTACGAAGGTTCATATCATGGCAGGCATCTGTTTTGAATGATTTTGAATGTATTAGGACTTCGTGCGCCAGTTAGAATGAAATGTGAGAAAAATAAAAATGTCCATGGTTTTTCATTCCGAAGCACATTTAGAAATATTTTCTTTGAATAGATTAGAATTCGCTTTTACAGGATTGGAAATTTTGCGAAACGACGACATCCAAGTCTGTTATATAGCTAGTAAATTCGCTTTTAACAGACGAGGTCTTTCCGCAAAATAACAAGGGTTCCTGTGATGAATTTGTTATTAGGAACTTTATACGAAATAAATTCCCCAGATGCATGGTTAACATCGTTTTTGTTTCAAATTAGCTAATACTTCTTGTTAAATTACTCTGACATAGACCATCTTACCACTGGAACAGTCGAACTAACGTTCGAAGGAAATTTTCAGAGACTACCACTTTAAGCCTCAAAGTAGGTGAAGTTCTTACGTAGTCAAATACGCCGTGGTTTCTAATCGTTACTT